ACACCAATACACTATTTTTAAAACATAGCCTGTGAGCCAGAACCACAGAAAAGTGGGCAAAGGCTGATTAACAGACAAATCGTGGGAAAAGAAATGCAAGTGGTTCTTCAACACAAGAAAAGATGCTCAATTTCCTCATCACAAGACAAATGCAAAATAAGACGATGGACGGTGAGTTACCATTTTTCACTTCTTAGGCAAAGATTTAAAGCATTTGATAACACATTCAATTGGCAAACATATAGAGGCTGGATATTCCAGATCTTAATGGTTGATGAGAATAAAAGCTGAGATTGTACACCACTTCACATCTAATAGGATGGCTATAACAATAATAATTAATAATAAAAAGGAAAATAAGTGTTGGGGAGGATGTGGAGAAACTGGAACCCTCGTACGTTGCTGGTGGGAGTGTAGAATGGTGCAGCCTCTGTGGGAAACCGTTTTGACCGGTCTTTAAAAAGTTACACATAGAATTAACATAACCACGTGGACCAGCAATTCCACTCCTAGGTGTATATACCCCGAAGAACCGAAAACAGGGACTGAAGCAGATACATGTAGGTGAATGTTCCTAGCAGCCTTCTCCACAGGAGCCAACAGGTGGACACAAACCAAGCATCCATCAGCTGGGGATGGATAAACAAAATACAGTCTATCCACACCAGGGAATATTATTCAGCCATGAAAAGGAATGAAGTACTCATGCACGCTACGACCACATGGATGAACTATGGAAACGTGATGCTAAGTGATAGAAGCCAGACACAAAAGGACAGATATTGTATGATTCCACAAATATGGACTATCCAGAACAGGCCAAGTCATAGAGACAGAAAGGAGGTTAGAGGTTATGGGGGCTGGAGGGAGAAAGGAATGGGGAGTTATTGCTTAATGGGTAGAGCTTCTGTTTAAGATGACAAAAAATTTGGGAAGGAGATAATGGTGATGGTTGCAAAGCATTATGAATGTAACTAATGCCACTGAATCGTACACTGAAAAGTGGTCAGATTGTGGGCTGGCCTCATGACCTCGTGGTTAAAGTTCAGTGCACTCTGCTTCAGTGACCCAGGTTTGTGGGTTCAGATCCCAGGCACAGACCTACACCACTTGTCAGCCATGTTGTGGCAGCATCCCACATACAAAATAGAGGAAGACTGGCAACAGGTGTCAGCTCGGGGCCAATCTTCCTCACCAAAAAAAAAAAGGGGGGGCATACCTAAAAAAAGTAAAAAAGTATGTAGTGATATGGTAAGATCACCAAACTATATGAAATGATAAAAGCAAAGTGTCGAACAAGGAGTATATCGTATGTTACTGTTTACAGTGTGTGTGTGAAATTCCTGGTCTACATATAGAAAATTTCTGCAAGAATCTATCAGAATCAAGGGAAAACCTGGAGTAGCTGAGGGCAGCAGTAGAAGAGAGCTTAGCACTGGAAACCTTTTTTTATACTTTTTAAATTGTACACAGTGTAAATGTATTCTCCTATTCAAAAGAAATACAATGAGAAACTTTACAAAACTGAAAGTGACACAAAACGTACCTGTGGGTCTACTCTAAACTGGAGGCTGCCAACCTGTGACTTCGGCATCGTCTGACTTGATCCTCACACCATAAGGAAACTGACAACACAGAGACTTGCCTTGGGGAGCTCAGGAATCAGGGGTGTCACCAAGAGATAAGGTCTGACCCGGAGCCCGCCATCTGAGAGTGTCCTTACACTCTCTCATTTGTATAAAGCAGTGGAATAAAAAAGCAAGTCAAGTGACAACGGCAAAAAGATTGAGAAGGAGACTGTGTTCTTTCCTGTGGCTGCTGGAACAAATTGCCATCAGCTTAGTGCCTTAAAACAACACAATGTATTCTTTTAGCGTTCTGGGGGTTAGAAGTTCCAAGTCAGTTTCACTGGGCTGAAGTCAAGGTGTTGGCCGGGTTGGTCCCTTCTGGAGATGCTGAGTGGGGAATCCGTGTCCTTGCCTTTTTCAGCGTCTAGCGGCCACCTTTCTTCCTGGTTTCTTCCACCTTTCTTCCTGGGCTGGTGGCCTCTTCCTCGCTCTTCACATCTCGTCACTGCAATCTCTGCTTCTGTTGTCCACCGCCATCCCCGCCTCCTCCTGTCCCCCTCTTAGGAGGACCACTGGGATTCTATTCAGGACCCGCCCAGAGAAACCAGGTTAACCTCCCCGTTTCAAGATCCTTCACCTCCTCCATCTGCAATATCCCTTTTGCCATGTAAGGGAACATTCACAGGTTCCAAGGATCCAGGCGTGGACATCTTTAGGGGACCATTAGTCAATGACCCACAGAGACCATCTCCACTGGGGAGATGCCCACACAGTTCTGGCAGACAAATCAGGTAGAGGCTTGGGGACAGGAATCAGAGGTCATTCAGGAGAGGGCTGCCCGCAAGAGGGAACCCAGCATCACCTGGGTTGTGGGGAGGAGGCAGGAGCGAGAAAAGATAGCCAAGACGGCCCCGATGACAGCCTGCCTGCATTTCGTGCACCATCCCACGTCCCCTTTCTCCAGGGCACAGGCCACCCCCCACTCACGTCGAGGAAAACAAGGACTGCAGGGTGGACCCCTAAGAAGACCCAACTCTCTGACAGCTGAGGTGGGAACGAGGGAGGGGCTGGCTTCTTAAAAAAGCCAGTCCTCTTCTGGCACTTGTGGTAGAAGGGAGGGGTGGCAGGAAGAGGGCTCCTGGCCTCACCCACCCACATGTGAGGCCAGCCTGGCGGCTAGCCCCACACCCGGCCACAAAGCTGCCATTCATGCTCCAACTCAAGGGCAGAGGAAAACAGGCCCAGGCTTCCAGCAGAAAGCACACCGCCATCACCTCCAGGCAGTGGCCTCGCCTCTCCTTGGAGAATGCCTAGGAGCAGGCGAGCAGCACCAGACAGGAGAAGAAACCAGCAGAGCAAAGAGCACCCAGAGCGAACGGCCCAGCCGGGACCCGGTCACCGTGCACACCGCATTTGGGTGTTACGTCTCTTTTTTTGAAAAAAGCCCTGGCCAGTTATCTTGGGTATATCCTTCATTACTAAACACAGGTTTAGCTTTTTTTTTTTTTTTTTTTACAAGAGTTCCGCATAGGCACTTTTGTGTACTTCCTATAGTTTCACATCAAGAGGCACTTGATGTCACGCTGTCCCACTTTGGGGATATTGATCACTCGGTTAAGAGGGTGTCTGCCAGAACCCACTCCCCCTCACTAGGTAGGTACATTTTTTCCCCTTTGTAATGAATAAGTCATCTGGGGGGGGAGGGGGATGATTCTAGAATGTTCCGCAACAACCTTTACCAATGGTTTTAGCATCCTTTGATGATCCAATTATTTTACTGGAGTCCCCTGTGATTTTTCCAACTCATCTAAAATAAGCTGGTATCCTTTATTGACATAAATCGCATGGTGCCTGTAAACCCACGTCATCCATGCGGTCTGCATCTGGTGCACAGCAGGCGCTTATTGATGGTATCAATAAAAGAAAGAAAAAGTCATTGCTATTATCTCCAGTCCGCAAGCAAACTTTCTTCACCAATTAGGCCCCCCAGCTCTCCACGCAGTAAGACCCGACTGAAGCGACGTCGGGGGGATTTATAACTTCTATTCCACTACGCGTGTGCTCCTCTCCAGACGCGCTTTGAAGCAGAAACATCGCGCGATCACGGAGCATGGCCGTCACTCTGCTGGGACTATTGCAGAACTCTGTGTACGGTATATGCCTCCTATCGCCTCCTAGAAAAAATCCGGAATCCCAAGCCTCTTAGATAAGAGACTGTGTGTGGATCTGTACTAAAAACGCTACAAATAATGCAATAATGTTACGACCTGCGACAGAAATGCTCGGAAAGGCGGTGGGTCCAGGTGACGGAGAGGTAAGGATCCCTCGGCGCTGCACGCGGGATCCCACGCGGTCCTCGCAATGGCGCTGGGGTCCCTTGCAGAAGCTCCTAGAGGAGGGGACCGGGGAACCCACGCCCGAACCCTTTCCTGTCGTGTGACCACCCCCTCTCCCCCCAAGCAAGCGACTTGCACCGGGTGCATAGCCTACGTTTCTCTGGGCCTCAGTTTCCCAGGAGAGCGTCCCTGGGGTCGTGCCTATAAAGCATCGCGCACAGTGCACGCCATGAGCGAGTGCCAGCGAGGCTTTACTCGTGGTGGGCGGCCTGGCATTCAGGGCACCGGCCCTGGGATGTCTGAGAGCAGTCACTTGAGGACCTTTGGACAATCTAGGGCAATGCAGGAACGGTGCGGGCCCAAGGGCAGAGGGCAGGGGACAAATAGCTGGTGGCCTCGGCCTCGCTGGCCCTGAACCTCGGGTTAATCCAGTTGTGTGTCATACAGGCAGGGGGCGGGTTTCCAAAGCAGGGGGCACAGGTTGTCGCGGCCGCAGAGAAGCAAGCGGGGTAGCGAGGCTCAGCGTGGGAGCAGGCCGGGTTTCCGAGGCTCTGGGGACACGATGTAAGTTCGAGAGGATCCCCGCGGGAGGAACTCTGATCCAGTGTTTCAAACCAGGCCCAGCGTCACAGTCTCAGCTAAGCCACGTAAGAGCAGAGGACAGATGGTGGGGAGGTGTTGCGAATGGCGGAGGCGGCTGGAGGCGGGAGGCCGGGGTGAGAAGGAAACCCGGGTCTGGGGGTCCTGGGGGAGCCGGGGGCGTCCCCACGGCGGGAGGCTCCCGGAGGTGGAGCTCGCCCAGAGGAGGCGGCGGGCTGGGCGCCGGGGACCCAGGTGTCAGATCGCGGGGCGCCGGGGCCGCAGGTCCCCACGTGGGGACCGCGCAGGCTCCCCGAGGGGCGGGCCCCCAGACCCGGGAGCTCGGGGCTGGCTCTGGTCCCCGCCCGCCTCGTGGCAGCTGGGCCCGGCCCGGCGCCCGCCGCGCTCCCGGGTCCCGCCCGCCGGCGCAGCCGCCCGAGGAGGGCGGGCCGCATCCAGAGCCGCCGCGGCCGCCAGCACCCCCGGGGGAGGACCGCCCGCCCCGGGGCTCCCTGGGGGGCCGATCCAGGGAGCCCCCGCCCGCCTCCCGGAGCAGCGGGGGAAAGGGGATCTTTGCCCGCCGCCGCCTCCGAGCGGGCCACCAGGTGAGCACCGGCACAGGTCGGGACCCGCGTCCGGTCCCCACTCGCCGCTGGGGGTCCCAGGAAGGATTTCCGCCCCCAGACCCTACCCGGAGGGGCGGGTCCCGGGCGTCCTGTGCCCCTGCGCCCTTTCCTGGGCCTCCGGTCCTGGGCTCCCGGGCCAGAGTGAGCCCCAGATCCTGCGGGGAGGGCTTTGCTTTGCAAACCTGTCCCGCTCCGCCCGCTGCGAGGCCACCATTAAGTCCGTCCCTCCAAACGCAGCGACCGACACGTGTCCGCTGCAGCCGGCGAAGGGCCGGGCCGCTCGCCAGCAGCTGTGCCCATTGTCCCTGCCGGCCGCCGCCCCTTCGCAGACCCTGCCCATCCGCGGTCTCCCGGCGCCGGCGCCGTTGCTTGATTTAGCAACTGGGCACAGGGTGTTTTGAGCTCCTCCCAATTTAAATTTGGTTCTTCTAAGTCAACTTTTGCAGTGTCCAGGAATATTGCTGAACGCTGGGTATCTTGTTCCTTCAACTTTAGACAGCATCTGTTCACTCCCGCTTTGGGAAGATCGCACTATTGCAAACACACTTTTAGAATAAATAATAACAGCTTTTTAAAAACGTCCCGGGAACGCACAAGAACAAAGGACAAATAGGAAAGACAAAGCTTTACAGGAAAAATAACGGATCCTTTAAACCGCAGCCGCCAGCCCCACGGCCAATGAAAACGTTTGGAAATTAAGTTACTTTTCAGAAATGGTAAAAAGTAACTTGTGGTCTGTGGCGCATCGTTTTAAATCTTTTCTGCTTTTGATTCCTCTGGTAGTTACTTCCACATCTTTAAAGCAGATTCTTGGATGGTTATCTCTTGGTTTATCAGCTTTTACACATTAATCTCTTGCTAAAAATAGATGGCGACAGCTTTCCTAATGATCACAGCATTCCTGTCAGCTTCCCTGTTGGCTGTTTATTTAACTACTGATTTTTATTGTTTAACCCAATCAGGTTATACACGTGGTTCACAAATCAAATAGAAATGAGAGTGCCTTATTTTTTTTCTATGATAAAAGTAATATAATCTAAGAAAATGGAAAAGGAAGGGTAGTGTTTTAGATTAAATTGGGGAACCGTAACCACCCACAGCAGTGTGCAAGCCCCTGAGCTTGTCAGGAACAAACAGCTGCAGAAGACTTTTCTGGGTCAATGAGGAAAATTGTTCACGGGCTGGGTATGAGAGGGCAGAATGGACTTCTCTTGGTGGTAAGTGGTTGTGAAGACCTAAAAAGGGCTCTGATTCTTTCTTAGGAGATGCAAGTTGAAGGTTTTTTTTTTTTGGTGAGGAAGATTGGCCCTGAGCTAACATCTGTTGCCAGTCTCCCTCTTTTGGGGCTTGAGGAAGATTGTTGCTGAGCTAACATCTGTGCCCATCTTCCTTGACTTTATATGTGGGATACCACCACAGCATGGCATAGGTCCATGCCTGGGATGCGAATGTGTGAACTCTGGGCTCTGAATTGGAGCATGTGACGTTAATCACTACGCCACTGGGCCAGCCCCGTGTCGAAATATTTAAGAATTCATGAAAATAGAGAGAAAGCAAATATGGCAAAATGTGGAACATACAGAGATGTTCGTTTTACTATTCTTTCAAATTTATGATGAAATTTTTTATTTTTTTGAGGAAGATTAGCCCTGAGCTAACATCTGCTGCCAATCCTCCTCTTTTTGCTGAGGAAGACTGGCCCTGAGCTCACATCCGTGCCCATCTTCCTCTACTTTATATGTGGGACGCCTACCACAGCATGGCTTGCCAAGCGGTGCCATGTCCGCACCTGGGATCTGAACTGGTGAACCCCAGGCAGCCGACGCAGAACGTGTGCACTTAACCAATACGCCACTGGGTGGCCCTATGATGAAATTTTTATGGGGAAAATAAAGTCAGACAATTGAGAAACTAAGAAAGAGATGAAGATGTGCACAGTGGCACAGACGCTGGCATCTTCCACACCGAGGTTCAAATCCCAGCTCTGCCACTGACTTGGCTGGTGACCTTGGGTTCGTCGCTGCCCTCCTCCACGCCTCAGTTTCCCCAGCTGAAAAACAGCGCCTGCCTCATGTTGTCTGTGGGGCTCCTGTGGGGTTTTGTGAAGCATCCCCACGTACCTAGAGCTGAGTCAGTTCTCAGTTAACAGCAACCGTTAGTATTTTGTGAAGGATGTTTCTTAACCAGCACAGACTCCTCCCCTGGGAATAACCGCTGTTAACGCCATGACCCTGTTGGGTCCTTCCCTCTCTTTTTTATAGAGAGATTTTGAACTTAGCATTTTCTTCTTAAAATTCAGCACGTGGCCCTGACTTTGCCGTCAGTGTGGTTTTCTGCCGTGTTTCGTCCCTTACTTTCTGAGCTCTTCCCCCCTCAGCCCACGTTCCTCTGGTCGTGGGTTCAGTGGCCGCGTGACTCCGCTGTGTGGAGGTGCAGACAGACTCCAGTGCCTTCGCCCACCTTCACTGTTAATCACAGTCACAACAACCAACATTTGTTGAGGGCCAGGCTTGACCTTTTAATTTTCCCACCTCCATGAGAGGCGGGAGTTATTAGAAGTCCTCAGTGTCTTATCCAAAACTTTTGAGGCCAAATGCGTTTGGGAATCCAGACTATGAATGAATATTAGGCAAGTCCTATGGAATGCATCCTGTACGTTACGTGAGACGCCCGGCGAGGCTGCGGAGCATCGTGTGCTCCGACGTACTGATATTTCTTCAGCGAAATGCCTGTTCATTCCCAGGGGAATAAACAAAACCTCACGCCAGTCAAGTCAGCTCTGACACCACCTGGGTCTGAGAAAGACTTTCCGTTTTCAGAGCTTGTGGGCTTGGGGATTATGGTGAGGGGATGTGGACCCGACCTTTCCCATTTTCAGAGGAGAAATCTCATACTCAGAGGGAAAGCCTTTTTGCCCAAAGTCATGAAAAAGTTAGAGTTGGGACTTCAGGCTGTCACCACTAATTCCCCAAACCAGTGTCCCTTGCTAGCCCTGTGATGCCCTCTCACCCAGAAATGTCACCACTGCCTCCTGGGAGCGAAAGGATGCACGGAAAGAATTTCCCAGAGTGCCCCACAAAGAAAGCACTCGACAAATGTGAATTATTTCTTGCACTAAGATGCAATTAGACAATTGCGTTCTTTGGCTTAAATAAGCATGGTGTTCATTGATGGCATCATTTATTTTTAATTGTGAAATATACCATCCATACAGAAAAGTACATAAAACATATGTACCGTTAACAAATAATTATAAATTTACCCATGTAACTGGCACCCAAGTCAACAGCGAGAATATCGCCAGCTCCCAGATGCTTCCCTGTGTGCTCCTTCTGGTTGAAGCTCTCTCCTTTCCTCTAGGAGCCACCGTCCTCACTTTCATGCTATTCACTTCTCTGCTCTGCTTTTCTTCATGTTGTTTTAGTACCTATGCGCGCATCCGTAAACAATATTGATTAGTTTAGCCCGTGTGCGAACTTGCTGAGAATAGAACCATTGGTGTGAGTAATTTATCATCCAAACCAGGAAATTTTGGAAGCAATAGAAGTCACTATTAATAATTACCCTAACTACCTTGGGACCACAGGTGTAGCCAGGCTTGTCCCAGGCTGTCTGGTTGTCCTGGAACCACACTTCGGGTGACTTCTGTCCAGCATCTTTCACTCAAAATTATGCTTTTGAGGTTCATTCAGTCTGCAGTGGGTACTTATAGTTAACTCCTTTTTATTGCTACATAGTATTCCATTCTGTGACTACCTTTATTTACACATCCTACAGTGGATGGGCATCTGGGTCATTTTCAGGCTGAAGCTGTGAGGAACAATGCTCTCAGGAATATTCTAGTATGAGTTTCCTGGCTCTAGGGTCGAATTGCTGGGTCCTGGGGGAGGCACATTTTCAACTTCAGTAAAAAATGCCAACTAGTTTCTAAAGTGGTTATACCCACTTATCCTGCCACCAGGAGTGTATGTGAGTTCTCACTAATAGCATTTTTTTCCTTTTCCTTTTTTTTTTTTTTTTGAGAGGAAGATCGACCCTGAGCTAATATCTGTCACCAGTCTTCCTCTATTTTATACGTGGGACGCCACCACAGCATGGCTTGATGAGTGGTGTGTAGGTCCACACCTGGGATCCAAACCTGCAAATCCTGGGCCACTGAAGCGGAGCACACGAACTTAACCACTATGCCACCAGGCTGGTCCCTCCTTGATAGCATTTTAGGTAAATTATGGTGACATTGTACTGGTTGATTGGTTTATTATTTTTTTTAAAAAAAGCATATCTTTATTACACATGATATTCATTACATTTAAATTAGAATATACCAAACAGCCAAGGTAACTTCGCCTCCCCCGTCTCTCACACTGTGGCCTGGAGGGCAGTTGGGTAACTGAGAGGGTGATGTCAATGAAATGACAGAGAAATAGATAGAAATCCAGAATCACCTACTACTGTCTGCTATGAAAGATGGTATTTGGCCAACTGTGTATTCCTCTGCTTTACTGCCCCAGTGATTTTTAATAATTGTACTGTTTGGGTATTTTTTTTTAACATTTTTTATTTTTCCTTTTTCTACCCAAAGCCCCCCCAAGTACATAGTTGTGTATTTTTTTTTAGTTGTGGGTCCTTCTAGTTGTGGCACGTGGGCCGCCACCTCAGCGTGGCTTGATGAGTGGTGCCATGTCTGTGCCCAGGACCCAAACTGGTGAAACCCTAGGCCGCCGAAGCGAAACGCACAAACCCATCCACTTGGCCACGGGGCTGGCCCCCTAGGGATTATTTCTTATTAGCCTTTCTAAGTTTAAATTTCATGCATCACTTCTATTTTTTCTTCTGGCAACTTTTGATTCCCGTGCTAAAAGGTGGGTGAGCTGAGCATCCTGGACCCCCTCCCCCACCTTTCATTTCCCATCCTTTGTCAGTCATCCGTGTATTTTCCCACTGTCAAGTCTGTTCTGTTGCCATAAGTAACATGCTTCAGTCTTGCCTGCTTTAACTGTAAAGTTTGAAGGGGTTTTTGACAGCAATCAACGTGTAATTGACATACCATGAAATTCAGCCCTTGTAAATGTCCTATTCTGAGATTTTTGGGAATTTACAGAGTTCTGCGGCCATCACCACAGTTTAGAGCATTTCCATCACCTCCAAAAATATCTCTTGTGCCTATTTGTGCTCACTCCCTCTTCCCATGCCCAGCCCAGGCAACTACTCATCTTTCTGTATCTTTAGATATGTCTTTTCTGGACATTCCATATAAATACATCCTACAATAGGAGCTCTTTTGTGTCTGGCTTCTTTCACTTAGCATTCTGTTTTGGGGTTCACTCACGATGTAACATGTACAGTACTTCATTCCTCTTATTGCTGAGCAGTATCCCCTCGTATGGACAGACCACATTTTGTTGCTCTGTTCACCGGATGGCCGCTGAATATCCATTGATGGACATTAGGATTTTTTCCAAATATATAATGCTGCTATGAACATTCGCAATCAAGTCTTTATGTGGACATATGTTTTCATTTCTTTTGGGTAGATAATCCAGTACTAGAATTGCTGGATTTTGTGGCAAGTTTAAGTTGTTTTTTTTTAAATGTTCAACTTTTAAAGAAACTGCCTGTTTTCCAAAGTGGCTGTTTTTTCACATTCCCACCAGCAATGAGAAGTTTCTAGTTTCTCTGCATCCTCTCCGATCCTTTGAACAATAGCCATTCTAGTAGGCATGAAGTGGTGTCTCATCGTGATTTTAATTTGTACTTCCTTAATGACTAATGATGTCGAGCATCTTTTCTTGTGCTTATCAGTCATTTGCATATATTTTTTGGTGAAATCTCTATTCAAATCCTTTGTCCAATTTTTAAAATTGGTTTGTCTTATTATTGATTTTAAGTGTTCGTTATATATTCTGGATACCAGTCCTTTATCAGATGTATGATTTGCAAATATTTTCTGCCAATCTATAGCTTGTCTTTTCATTTTCTTAATGATGCCTTTTGAAGTGCAAAAGTTCCAAACTTTGATGCGTAATTAATCCATTCTTTTCATTTATGAATCATACTTTTGGTGTTATATATAAGAAATCTTTGCCTAACCCAGGATCACAAGATTTTTCTCTTGTTTTCTTCTAAAAATTTTACAGGTTTAACTCTTACTTTTAGGTCTATGATTCATTTGAAGTTGCTATTTGTGTATTGTGTGAGGTAAAGGCCTAAATTCATCTTTTTTGCATGTAGATTTCCCAGCACCATTTGTTAAAAAGACAGTCTTCATGCTAGGAGATCAGATCTTTAAACGTTCTCATCACAAAAAAGAAATTATAATTATGTGACATGATAGATGTGTTGAAAAACAAAATTCAACTGAGTAAATTTGAAAATCTAATTGGCTTTATGAAATGATTCATGAATCAGACAGTATCTCTTCTGGCAAGCAGAGAGATACTCCGGGAAGTTAAACAAAATGGAAGGTTTTGGGGCCCAGCCTGGTGGCGCAGCAGTTAAGTTCCCAGATTCCGCTTGGGCAGCCGGGGGTTCACTGGTTAGGATCCCCGGTGTGGACATGGCACTGCTTTGCAAGCCATGCTGTGGGAGGTGTCCCACATATAAAGTAGAGGAAGATGGGCACGGATGTTAGCTCAGGGCCAGTCTTCCTCAGCAGAAAGAGGAGGATTGGCAGCAGATGTTAGCTCAGGACTAATCTTCCTCAAAAAAAAATAAAATGTCTTTAAGAAAAGTTCATTGGAGGAAAGTAAGAGTTCAGAGTGACAGTGGCTTCTCATTGGCTGAGCGACGGTGTTTTCCATTGGCTGGGCTTGTTGCTGGGCAAGGAGAAAATCTTCCTTCCTCCTGCCAGGGTAGTCAGGTGGAGACAACTTCCTGTCGGAGATGCAAGGTACGTCTCTTCCTGTGTAGGGAAACTGACCATGAGCGGTAGGGTGTGAGAGCTCTCTCCGTAGGCCTCCATACTCCAACGTTACTTGAGGTTTCCTTTATTAATTTTCACAGCGGTGTTAGCTAATGCTACAATTGTCGTCGCATGACAGTATATAAGTATCAAAACGCATTGTACACCTTACATTTATACAATGTTATGTGTCAATTATGCCTCAAAAAAAAAAAAAGGCAATCTTTTCCCCATGAAAACCAATAAACAGGCTTCTCTAAGGAGAATGCCCCTAGCCCCCAGGTCACATGGATTCCTTTCTCTTGCACTTTGTCAAATGGACACAACATGGATCCAGTTTAGTGTCTATCATATTCAGACCACAACTTTCTTAAGCAGCTTTTTGTTTTTCCTGCAGTTTCTCATCGCTTTCATTTTTCCCTTTTGAGAGAAGCATTTTCCTGTTTCTAACTCGTCTGATCTATTTCTTAGATTTTTTTTTTCTTCTTGAAGACATTCTTCTTTTTATAGTATCCTATTCTCGTCTCGTTTTCAATATCTTCTCAAATCTAAGTGGACCCAGGACCAGCTACATAATTTGCTGGGCCCAAGGCAACGTGAAAATGTGGGCTCCTTGCTCAAAAATGATTCCGAATTTCAAGTTGGCAACAACAGAGCGTTAAAACAAGCATGGGGCCCTCCTAAGTGTGGGGCCAGGTGTGAATGCACGAGTCACACGCCCATGAAGCCTGAAGCTGGCCCTGAGTGTGCTAATTAGGTTTTGTTCTTTTCCTTTGGCCTCTGAATCGTCTGTTTCCTCTGGGGTCACTTTGCTCTGGTTCTGCCTGAGGAGCTTCTCCTTCTCTTTCAGGTTCCCAGTTTCCTTCAAGTATCTGCTGATCCTTCTTGTCCAGTCACATTTTCAAACAAACGAGGGGCTGGGAGACTCTTTTAAGTAACTGGGATGAGGTTTGGGGCTGTTACAAATATAGTCCTTCTTTCCCACTGGCCTTTGTCGAGTTGAAGGGCCGACTGAGCCCTCTGTCTGGTGATAGCACGGAGGAAGCCAGTCTCTGCTGGGAGCTGGATGCTGGAATGGGGAGGGCTACACCCAGGAACGCCGGCAGCCTGGCACTTCCCAGACACTTCATGCAGTTTGTTTAGGGAACAATCATCCATTCTTGTCTTGTGTTTCTGGTGTGAGAGCGTTGGACAGCCTGAGATCTGTGTGGCAAAGAGTGAAAGAGGAAGGAGATGAGCAGGGAGCCAATAGGCACGGTTTTTTCAAAGATGGACTAACCTCTGCCCTCACTCTGCCCTCTCAGTCCTGACCTGGACGCCTACGCCAGCCTGGGCCCCTCTGGCTCCAGAGCCTCTGGGGTCCTTGAGGCTCCATGGCTCCCACTGTGAGTTCTGTCCCAGCCCCTGCACTTCTGTCTGCTTTCTGTATTTCAGAAACAGATCAACATGGCTTTTTCATTGATGATCTCCCTGCTGTTGACTTTGCTGTTCAACTTCTTTGCCGTACGTAGAGAGAATGCCCGTTGAGAGCGAGATCAGACTGCCCAGATTCCAATCCCCACTCCACTTCTGACTGCTGTGTGACCTTACGTGAGTCATTTCTCCTCTCTGGGCCTCAGTTTCCTCATGGTGTGAAGATCAAGTGGGAAAACACAGAAGTCACAAAATGGCCACCCCTAGTTGGTTCCTGGGTCTGTAGATCTGTCTCATCTGGCCTGTACTTGCTTTACTATTTATTATTATTATTACTATTAACGCATTGCTAACATTTGAAAATTGGGTGATTTTGCATAAAAACTGAGATTTCCAGGTTCTTTTGAAAAATTGGAAGATATGGCCAAACTGGGCCCCCCACCCACCCAGTTGGCAGTCAGTCAGCCAGAGTGAGTGCTGGCACAGCCTTTAGGCTGAGCTGTGCTCTGGTTTGCCAGGGTCCCCACCACTCCCTGGTTCTCCCACCAGTCAGCCTCCTTTGGGGTACTGCCTGTCTCCTGTAGACATTTGAACTTGGAATTCCTGGGATAGTGGTTTGAGAGCATCTAGCACAGGACCATGCACATATGAGCTGTTACTATTATGAGGCCAGCCAAAGGCAGCCATGTAAGTGGGGTCTCAGATCCAGCCCTTGCTCTGACCACCAGGCAGTGCTGGCCCAGGGGTGCATTCACCCAGAATGGCTGCCTTTAAAAAAAATCTACCCAAAGGCTCATAAAGGCTAGTACGGCCCTGATTATCAATAGCTCAGTCTGCCTTCTCGAAGGAGAAGCCACACCGAATCTTATTTATTTATTTATTTATTGGTGAGGAAGATTGGCCCTGAGCTAACAGCTATGCCTGTCTTCCTCTATTTGGTATGTGGATGCCACCACAGCATGGCTTGATGAGCAGTGTGTAGGTCCAGGCCCGGGATCTGAACCTGCAAACTCCGGGACACTGAAGTGGAGCACAGGAACTTAACCACTACGCCACCAGTCTGGCCCCACATCAAATCTTTGGACATGCAAACCACTTTAAAGAGCAAAAAATTTTAACCTTGTCTCGACGATTTTTATGTAACCAATTGTTGCAGATTAGAAGCAACCCCAGCGCTACAGTTCAAGAGCAAAAAGTTAAAATTAATAAGGGAGAATGTCAGATAGAGCGGAATCCCCCAGAGGCCTGAAAAGGAAGCCATCCTGTCTAAAACGAAAAAGCTTGACCACAGCAGGTGCTGGCAACTGCAGCTCGCCTACACTGTTGATGGGAATGCAAAGGGCACGATAAGGCTGAAAAACCGCTGGGTGTTTTCTTGTTACGTGAAATGCGCTTGGTAATATACACTTACCATATGATCCAAGAGTCCCGCTCCCAGGCATTTAGCCACGAGAAATGAAAACATACGTCCACTTAAACACGTGTACAGGAATGTTCATAGCGGCTTTATTCTTACTAACCCCAAACTGGAAACAACCCAAGTGTCCACCATGGTGAGCGGATAAACAGATTGTGGATTTCCTGTTCAATGGAATACTATGCAGCAATAAAAAGGAATGAACTCCTGATCGACACCTGCAACAATGTGTATGAATCACGCAAAGGTTATCCTGAAGGAAGGAAGACACAGGGAGCACATACTATATGTATCAGTCAGCGTCCAGCCAGGACACTGAGCCACACAGTAGTTTGAAGGGAGAATGTTTAATATACAGAATTATTCATTATAGCAGAGGATTCGTGTAAGAGCAATTAGCTACTAAGAAATTAGGAGAATGCTAAAGAACATAGAAATAGCAGCTATAAGGAGCAGCCATGACTCCTAAGATCCAAGATAGAGAGCTCTAGAAAGATGACAGCCCCCAGAGACTCTGAGCTCCTTGCAGAATGCTTGGCCGAGGCTCACTAGACGGCAGGGGAGTCCCTGGGGAGGCTGCACCGGTGGGACTTGCTGGACATCCACCCTCTGGAAACTGCCAGAAGTCCGTCCTCTAGGATGCTGGGGAAAGCAATTCACAAGGACGTGCCTCACTAGGGGCGCCCTGCTAGGAAGCCACGGATGGCGGCGTGGGGGGCCAGGGCATGCCGCTGGCTGCCAGACCCTGGAGAGGCGTGCCCGCTGCCCGAGCTGCCCCAGAAGCTGCCCGCCCTCCAGGGAGCAGGTCTGGAAGCTGGAGGCAAAGTCTGTCCCACCGGCAGCGACTCTCTGGCTCCTTCTACTGGAAAAACGTATTATGTCAGCGGGCGAAGGAAAAAGATTTAAAGGGCCAAACTCGTATTTCGCCGCTTGGAGCTGGGAGGCAGTAAACTGATAACTGGCACGCTGTATGGCTCCATTGATACAAAATCTGAAAAAGAAAACTCGAACTTATTGTGGCGGAAAGCAGATTAGTGCCTTGGGGTGGAGGCGGGGGTTGTCTGGGAGGGGGTAAACGGAAATGTTCCCTATCTTGGCTGTGGTGATGGTTACGTGGTTGTGTAGAGTTGTTTAAAATTGTACACTTGAAATATGTGCATTTTATTGGATGTGACTTATACATGAATAAAGGTAATTTTTTGGCAGGCCAGCCCTGGTGGTCTACTGGTTAAATTCGGTGGGCTCCGCTTTGGCAGCCTGGTTTTGGTTCCCCGGGCACAGACCTACACCACTATCAGCAGGCATGCTAGGGTGGTGGTTCACATACAAAATAGAGGACGATTGGCAACAGATGTTAGCTCAGGGCCAATCTTCCTCAGCAAAAAAATAAATAAATAAAGGTAGTTTTTTTTAAACTTACCCAATCTTGGAAACAGGGCTCACGTGCAATTATAAATGCAAAGAAATGCACACGTGCACACACAGCAGAACGGCAGCCTGAATCCCACCACCGAGATCCCCCAGCTTACCCTGGTGACTGTGTCTCTATGGGGTGGTGTCGGGATAGTTTCTGGCACTGGCTCGGAGGCCTGCTCTCCTACTCTCCCTGAGGGGTTCAAGGTCAATGTGGGTGCTGTGGGCAGTGGCTGAGTTTACGGGGGTGATGAGGTACGCATGCGCCTACTCCTCTCTCCTTTTCCCCCCTCCCCAAGGTGAATCCACAGAGGGCCCCCCATCCTTTCAGATGATCCACTCACCCTGAGAGCAAAGTCCTACTCCTTGTTTTATTACCATTGGGTCTTGTTGCTTGAGTCCTGGGCATGGCTTAGGGACATTTGTCCTTCACTGCTCACAGCGACCCTTTGAGGCAGAGCAAGAGGTATCCCCAAATTACAGGCAAGAAAACCAAGGCTCAGAGGTCAGCAGGACACCTAAGAGATGGCCTGCCCAGGATTCGAACCCAGATCATCGTCTCCATAGTGGGAGCTCCAGCCACCACCTATCCTGCTGGGGGGCATTTGGGTCTCTTCTCCCCCCATGATTGTCTTATGACAGTGTCCAAGCATACAGAAAAGTTGAAGTAATTATACAGTGAATATTCGCTGACTCCTAAGGAGGGGAGATGCTAACATTACCCGTGTATTATTTAGGCTGATACTGAAATATTACTATTCATAGTAACAGTTTAGTCAGTCTTCCAAATTCATAAAATAAAATAAAAAGTTGGTAAAATGACATTTCAAGGACAAAACTGTCTAAATATCACAGCCAGTAAAAACATACATTTATAAATGCATAAGGGTTACGCGTAAGTCATTCTCATCTGTTATTAGCTGATAAAATTGATTAAAATAATTTCAAAATCAATTGAAATAAAACTGCTAAAATAATAAAGGTAAAATTAACAAAAATTAAGGAATAAAATTAATAAAGTAAAAATGACTGTATAAAATGAACACAGTTTAGTGAATCAGGAGCCTTGAAAATGAAATTATATTATTTGACATTTTGAGTGTAGATTCTGGGAAAAGGATGCTCAGCTGGAGAGACCACGTGGAGACAGAGAAATGCCTCAGGAGCCCCCAGCTCTCTCTCTCTTTTTTTTTTTTTTTGGTGAGGAAGATTGGCCCTGAGCTAACATCTGTACCCACTTCCTCTATCTTGTATGTGAGTCACCGCCATAGCATGGCTGACGAGCTATGTAAGTCTGTGTCTAGGATCTGAACCCGTGAACCCAGGCTGCCGAAGCAGAGCATGCTGGACTTAACCACTATGCCATGGGGCTGTCCCACGGCAGTGTTTTTGTGCAAAATTTTCCAGTCACTATAAAAAGGTCTCTAGGGGCCAGCCCCCTGGCTGAGTGGTTAAGTTCGCACGCTCCACTTCGGCGGCCAAGGGTTTCGCCGGTTCAGATACTGAGCGCGGACATGGCACTGATCGTCAGGTCATGCTGAGGCAGCGCCCCACATGCCACAACTAGAAGGACCCACAACGAAGAATATACAACTATGTACTGGGGGGATTTGGGGAGAAAAAGCAAAAAACAAAAGGTCTCTAGCCCGACACAATTCAAGGAACTGCTGAGGAGAGAGAGAACCAACTCTCCGTAGTTTCCATGGGTTCCTTCATTTTACAGCAGTCCTATCTTTTGTTTGATAACTTTGGGGAGAGCTTTTGGATATCTTTTTGTTCCTTTCCGTGGATTACCATCTCTGTTTTTATTGTTGCTTTTAGGAAACCTTTTCTAAAAAGCGCTCAAACTGTACAGTCTGATGAATTTTTACAAATGAATGCACATATATAGTCAGCCCTCAGATTGAGAAACAGAAAAAAACACGTTTTCTAAATGAGTATACCTCTGCCCGGTGTGAAATTGTAGTGCTGCCTGAAATTGTCTTGGCAGAGAATGTTTTGTTGGTGTTCAGGACATAGATTCATCATGAAACGAATCATTGAGTCATTGATCACAAGCTAAGGGTACAAAAGAGTCCAGATTTTTAAATAAAATCAAATAAAGATATCACACCACTAAAAATACCAGTAGTCAGAATACCTAAAATGTGGAAGCACCCTGTGTCCATCCGCAGATGAGTGGACAAGCGAAATGTGAGCTCTCCATACAATGGAATATTATTCAGCCCTAAACAAGAAGGAGCTTCTGACACATGCTCCAACATGGATGGAGCTCAAGGACATGATGAGAAATGAAATAGGCTAGTCACAAAAAGATGAATACTGTATGATTCCTCATCTCAGGACTCAGAGTAGTCAAAATCTTAGAGACAGAAAGTAGTGTGGTGGTTCCTGGAGGGAGGAGGGAAGGAGTGATAGGGAATTATTGTTTTATTTTATTTTATTTTTTTTGAGGAAGATTAGCCGTGAGCTAACTGCTGCCAATCCTCCTTTTTTTGCTGAGGAAGACTGGCCCTGAGCTAACATCCATGCCCATCTTCCTCTACTTTATATGTGGGACGCCCACCACAGCATGGCTTGACAAGCGGTGCCATGTCCTCACTCGGGATCCGAACTGGCGAACCCCGGGCCGCCAAGAAGCAGAACGTGCGCACACTTAACCGCTGCGCCACTGAGCCGGCCCCGGGCATTATTGTTTTACAAGAGGAGAAGAGTTCTGGAGATGGATGGTGGTGATGGTGGCATGACATTATGAATATATTTAATACCATGCTGTTAAAAACAAACAGAAAAGCATGCTCTTCCTGCATTACATTTACTAGGCTCAGTGGAGATAATTATTTTTTTGCCCCAAATCACACAGATAGGAAATAGGCAGAATCAGTGTTTGAACCCAGATCGGTCTGCATCGGGCACCCGTTCTTTCTTCTTCGGGCTCTTTTTTTTTTTTTTACTTTTTTTTTTAACTATTTCTTTTTTTTTTTTATTGAGTTATTGATAGGTTACAATCTTGTGAAATTTCAATTGTACATTAATGTTTGTCATTTGTGTTGTAGGTGCACCATTTCACCCTTTGTGCCCACCCCCCACCCCACCTTTCCCCTGGTATCCACTAAACTGTTCTTAGTCCATAATTTTAAATTCCTCGTATGAATGGAGTCACGCACAAATTGTCCTTCTCTCGCTGGCTTATTTCACTTAACATAATTCTCTCAAGGTCCATCCATGTTATTGCAAATGGAATGATTTTGTTCTGTTTTGCAGCTGAGTAGTATTCCATTGTATATGTGTACCACATCTTCTTTATCCATTCGTCTGTTGCTGGACACTTAGGTTGCTTCCACGTCTTGGCTATTGTAAACAGTGCTGCAATAAACATTGGGGTGCATAGGACTTTTGGGATTGCTGACTTTAAGTTCTTTGGATAAATACCTTGGGGCTCTTTGACATCCGGGGCAGGATAGCTCTTTGAAGTGGTACCCATGCCACGAAATGCAGGTCTCTGAGCATCGTCACATGTAGCTGCACAATAGACCGCTCAAAACGCAGTGACTTAAAACAATACCCATTCTTTTCTCGTTATTTTTTATGGCTCTGGGGATATTGACCCGGCTCAGCTAAGCGGTTCTTAGGGGCTCTCGGGCAGGTGCCCTCAGACAGCGACACACGGCGGCTGGGTCGTCTGAAGGCTGATTCAGTCCCATGTTAGCACCTGGGATGTGGACACTCAGACATCTGGGGCTCCCCAGGCATTGCCCTCTGTCCCCACACGGGCTTTCCAGAATGATGACTTCAGGGCAGCCAGCCTGAAGCGAGGGTCCAGGCAGCGGGATGCCGCACCAGCTTGCAGCGGTGGCTGGCGAGAGCGGACTCTGGGCAACTCTCCAGCCCCACAGGGCAAGGTCTTCACCGTGAGAACTCGCCATCAGCCCCAGTGGGTGTACTTACACCAAGGAAAACAGCAAATGCTACAAACCCAGACTCTTGTCCTTTTTCCCCAGACAGCCAGTTGCTGAACACTGAGCAGCACACCCCTGGACTCAGGGCTCCCAAGGTGCGCATCCTGACAGCATCTCCTCTGTGACGACCCAGCCTCGGAAACCCCTTAGCAGTCACTTCTGCGCTGTTCTGAAAGTTGAAGCAGTCGCAGAGGCCTGCCCATGTCCAGGGGAGGGGTGTGGACTCACTTCTTTTTTTTTTTAAAGATTGGCACCTGAGGTACCAACTGTTGCAATCTTCTTTTTTGGTTTCTTTCTGCTTTTTATCCCCAAAGCCCCCCAGTACATAGCTGTATATTTTTAGTTGTGGGTCCTTCTAGTTGTGGCATGTGGGATGCTGCCTCAACGTGGCTCGATGAGTGGTGCCGTGTCCGCGCCCAGGATCCGAACCAGTGAAACCCTGGGCCGCCATAGTGGAATGCGTGAACTTAACCACTAGGCCACCGGGCCGGCCCCCGGACTCACTTCTTAATGGAGAGGGGTCCAGCCCTGGAAGAGCGTGTCAGGTAGGGTACGTTGTATAGCCATTTGGGAAGACATGCTCTGCCGTAGCATCATGGGTCCCTGGAAACAATACCAGCAGCATCCCCCAGTCACTGTGATAACCAGTAAAAACCTCCCCCTAAACACGCACATGCTCCTGAATGCCCCGGCAGCAGGGCCCACACGAGCCAGCCAGTAGTTGGCACTCAGCTGTGTGGACCTGGCAGCTATGAGCTGCCTCGGGGCCCTCAGTAGAGCATCCTAAACAAGCGTTTTCTATCCCCAGGGCTCAGGAGGTACGTCGCTTGAAGGTCCTTGCTCCTCAGTGAAGTCTGGCTGCCCTCCTTGTGTGAGGGGGCCCCCCAGCTCCAGAGGTCCCCCGTCTCCGCATTCCGGAAGAGGGCCCACCCGCTACACTCTGGTGAGTGTCCCGTCCACGCCAGGCAACTGGTGCACTTGCTGGTAAATTGCTGCTAATTATTAATGCAACTAACAACCGTGGGGGCAAAGTACACTCTAGTCTCTAAAGCCGGTCTCCACAATGTCGGTCACTCTGCCGTCGGGGCCAAGGGGTGTCGGGCTGTGCGCCATGTCCATAGACCGCTTGCCCGAAAGAGGCTGATTTCTTAACAAGACCTTCATCGATTTGTTTAAAAATAACAACAGCTGACAGGAACCGGGCACCCACTGGCTTTAGACAACATGACAAGCGTTAGCTGGCTGAAGGCTGTTAGCCCGGGCCCACCTCCAAGGATGGTTTTGGCCATCAAACTGAGTGGATGGGATGCAGTGAGACGATCCAGCTTAAACGCTCAGCTCAGTGGCCAAACGAGGGCTCCAGAAATGTCGCCAGATGAAAATATAGCTAAATGGAGCTTGTTATTTTTTTATGATGTGTAATCATAAGAGCAACTAATAATTTAGTGTTTAAGAGTAATATCATTTTTATTTATGAGACACTGGCAGTTTTTTTTAAGTCCTTTACAAATATCAACTCATTTCGTCCTCACAATAACCCTAGGAATTAACCACTGTTAACATCCTCATTTTCAGAGGGGGAAACTGAGGCACAAAGAGATTAGTGACTTGCCCTTGGTCACATTACTAGGAAGAGGCCTAGCTGGGACTCGAACCCAGGCCGGCTGGATCCAGATGTCGGACTTTCAGGACGAGGCTGTTCTGCCCCAAACAGGGAAATCAACGAATTTTGCACTAGATCTTGGGCTGATCGCTGAGTTCTTGTTAAATAAAGGGATTTCGCCTCACTGTGCCTCGCATCTTCACCTGCGCAGTGGGCTTCTGCTGTGACGATTCGTTCGTTCATTTAACATCTCTTTATCGCACAGTTATTCTATGTCAGGATCCACTGTGGACATTGTGGTTTGCAGTACGTGAAAGAAACAACAGTTCTGCCCTCGTGGTGGTTACAATGTGGGCTGGTCGTGAGGCCCAGAAGTTGTAAATCAGGTGGCCAGGGAAGGTCTCGTGGAGAGGCTGACATTCGAGCAAAGACTTGAAGGAAGCACTGAGGCGAGCAAAGAAATCCTCTGGATCCAGGTGGAGGAAACAGCCTGTGCAAAGGCCCTGAGGTGTGGAGGCCGCTGTGGCTGGGGCAGAGTGAGTGAGGGGGAGATGAGGGCAGGGAGGCGATGGGGGCAGATCGTGAGGGGTCTTGTGGGCCACGGCGAAGACTTGGCCTTTCCCCTGAATGACATGGAGCCAGACGAGGGCTCTGGGCAGGGAGGGCCAGGACCTGACTTGGGGGTTTACTCCTGATCTGGTGTGAAATGGTTATCTACAGAGAGGAAGAGCGAGGGCCTAAGAAAAATGTAAACCTGATGACTGGGCAGCATTAGGGGCACACTCGAGGGTCAAGTTCATAAACTCGAAGGGAGACCAGCCAGTGAAGCTGTGTGTTGTCCTTCAGCAGCTTTAAACTGGGTGGGAGAGGCACAAGGTAGACGGGGGGCTGGATTTAACCAGGGTCTCGTGTAGGAGGAAGCCAGAGGAGGCGATGTGGTATGCAAAGAAACCAAGGAAGTTAAGCTGCATAAGGAAGAAATGAGGATGTGAGGGGATGAGGGGCCTGAAAAGGAGGGAGAGACAGAGGGTGGCAGACCCCAGTGGGCTGGAAGGACAGTGGGGGTTTAGGGCATTGCGGGGAGAGAGCTGGAAAGAGAGGAGACGGGTGGAGAGATGCCTGAGATTGAGGCTCTGAAGATGCTGTCGTTATTGAGACAAGGTCTAGGTGTGACCATGGGAGGGGGGGACAGAGAGGAGAGCAGGTCAGGAAAGGGGGGGAGGGGGGCAGGAGACAGAAGGAAGGATCATCTACCTGGATGTGAAATGACTAAGAATGTTGACAGTGAGCCTGGAGAAGTGAGAAGTACTGATCTGGGTCAGCAGATGATGCACCCCGTGGGGTAGTCAACAATCTGCTCTGATGATGAGATTCATAGTTGGGGAGCTTGGGGAGGATGGAGGGAGAAGGGTCTGGAAGCAGCACCAAGGAGCAAGGAGATTTCCCCACTTGGAAGGCCCACAGGACAGCTGGGTTCTGATTAGAGCAAGAAGGTGACAAGAACGTCCAGTCAAGAGATTGAGGAAATAGATTTTGCTGAAGACAGGTCATGAATTCCAAAGGCCTGAGGAGCTGGGACAGGTTGGGGGATGGGGTGACAGTGGTTTCCTCCCCGCTGGGTCTTTCTCGGGGGTCTTCAGTGTGCTTATGGTCATCTATAAAGTGCTTAGCCTGACACGAGTGCGCCGGCCAGGGATGGGAGCCATGGTTAGCAGTCCCGGTGGGGGTCTTGGTCAGGCCAGGGGGTTGTTGCTCCAGGGGGAAAGCTGGGGAGAAGCCGATCGATCGCCCTCCGGAGCCAGGTGGCCGGAACTAGGTGCCTGGTTTTCGCGGCCGTTGTCAGTCCCGGGTGGCCCACGTACCTGGTGGGGTCACGGTCCAGCCGCAGCGGGCTTGCGTCCAGGGAGGAGCGGTGGAGGGAGGCCAGACGACCCTGACCCGCCCACCCCTCTCGCCCTGCAGGACTCCGGCGGCCGGCGATGGGCGCGCGGCCCTCGCGGCGGCGGCTGCCCGCGGACCCGCCGCTAGCCTTGGACGCGCTGCCCCCGGAGCTGCTAGTGCAGGTGCTGAGCCACGTGCCGCCGCGCGCGTTAGTGCTGCGCTGCCGCCCGGTGTGCCGCGCGTGGCGCGACGTGGTGGACGGGCCCACCGTGTGGCTGCTGCAGCTGGCCCGCGACCGCAGCGCCGAGGGCCGCGCCCTGTACGCGGCGGCCCAGCGCTGCCCGCCCCACGGCGAGGACGAGGAGGAGTTCCCGCTCTGCGCCCTGGCGCGCTACTGCCTGCGCGCGCCCCTCGGCCGCAACCTCATCTTCAACTCCTGCGGAGAGCGTGGGTACCGGGGGCGGGGCCTGGGAGGGGGCGGGGCCAGGGCCGGGAGCCGGGGGGCGTGGTCCAGGAAAGATGCTCCTGGGAAAGTGGGCGGGCGAGGCCCCTCAGGGGCTGGGGGAGAGACGGACTGGGTGGGTGGAGCCGGGGGCTGTAGGCGGTGGAGGGACACCAAATGGATGGGCGACACCCAGCGGGCGGAGCCAGGGGGCGGGGCCGCGGCCGGAATGGCCCCGTGCTGGGACAGTGGGCTCGGTGGGCGTGGCTAAAGAGGGAGGAGCCAAGGGGAAGGCTAGGGAGAAGCCGATTGGGTGCTGGAGGGGGCGGAGCTTGCATGGAAATATACGATGTATTGCGAGGCCTTGGGGACGGGAACTGAGGAGTGGGCGGGGCCAAGGGAGGAGCCGGGGGTGCTGTGGTGGGAGAGGATGGGGTCTTGGTAGAAGGAGCCGCGGGCGGGCCAGGATTGAAACCCAGTAAATTGAGAGGCTGAAGAGAGGTGGAACAGGGGATGGGGCCGAGTGGGGCCGAGGGGAAGCTGAGAGGATGGGCAGGGCTGGGTGACGGGGTGGTGGGGTGGGACCAGGAATGCAGGCTGCTGGGAGAAGCTGGTGGGCGGGGCTAATTGGGTGGTGGCGGGCTCTGCGGACGAGCTGGCGGGAGAATCCCTTGTGTTCAACCCTATTGTATCCCACAGAGGGCTTTAGAGGCTGGGAGGTGGAGCACGGCGGGAACGGCTGGGCCGTGGAAAAGAACCTCACACGGGTGCCGGGAGCGCCTTCCCAGACCTGTTTCGTGACTTCTTTCGAGTGAGTGGCCCTTGATCCCTGGGGCAAGGGTTCCGAGGAGGGAGGGGGACCCAACCCCATCATCCTCCTCACCCTCACCCACCTTCATCCTCTCCTTCCCTCACTCATTTATTCAGGCAGTCAATCAACGAATATTTGTTGGGGACCTGCCAGGTACCAGGCACTGTTTTATATGCCAGAGACACAAGGAAAATGCGGCAACATCAGGAACCTGCTCTTTTTTCATCTACATTTTAATTGTAGGGTGGGGGAAGACATTACACACATAACCAGTAAAATAACAGCAAAAACAACAGGACTTGGGGCTGGCCCTGTGGCCGAGTGGTTAAGTTCGCGCGCTCCGCTGCAGGCAGACCAGTGTTTCGTTGGTTCGAATCCTGGGCGCGGACATGGCAGTGCTCATCAAACCATGCTGAGGCGGCGTCCCACATGCCACAACTAGAAGGACCCACAACGAAGAATATACAACTATGTACTGGGGGACTTTGGGGAGAAAAAGGAAAAAAAATGAAATCTTTAAAAAAAAAAAAAAAACAACAGGACTTACTCTATGCCAGATGCTTTGCATAGAGCTCTTAATCCTGGCAACAACCCTGTGAGGTAGAGACTGTTATTATCTGCACTTTATAGTAAGAAACTGAGGCACAGAGGCTAACCAACGTCTAGTAAATGGTGGAGCTGAGATTTGAACCCAGGGAATCTGGGTTCTGGCTCCAGAGCTGCTGATTGTGATAAATGCTATGAAGCCATCAGAACCGTTTGATTTATTGATTCTCTCTACCCTCATACCCCACAACCATTTTCCTTGTCTCTCGCCCCATAGTCAACCATTCTCTTGTGGCATTATCCAGCTTTCTAGTAGTTGCCAGTATATTAGGGGTGAAGTGATATCTCATCGCTGTTTTAATTTGCATGTTTCGATTTCCTAATAATCAAGCATCTCTTCATATGCTTGTTAGCTTTTTGGATTCCCTCTTTTGTAAATTGCCTGTTCATATTTCCTATTAGGGTTGATGTTTTATTCTTGTTGATATACAGGAATTCCTTGTAGATTCTACCTGTCAGTCCCTCGTCCATCCTGAACACTGTGGAAATCTCCCACTCTCCATCTGGATTAACTGTGTCCGTGGTGTTCTTTGTTGTTATTTTCATATGATCAAATTCACCTCTCTCTTTTTTCGCTCTAGAATTTGTTTTTGAAATTTTGTTTAAAAAACCCTTCCCCACGCTTATAGCCTAACAAAATTCTCTTATACCTTCTTCTGGTAACCTCATAGTTTTACCTTTCACATTTAGATCTTTAATCCACCTTTGAACGTGGTGTTAGGAAAGGTCCAGTTTTCCCCCCTCCACAGATTCAGTCAGTTTTCGCCACAGCATCGTCTAAAGAATCCATCCATTTGCCCATGGACTGGCGGTGCCGCCTCTATCATTTGTCAAGTTCCTCTGCATACCTAGGTCTGTCCCTGAGCACTGGGTTCCGTTCCACTGGCCAGTTTATCACTTCTTCTGCCAGCACTGCACTATTTCTATTATTATGGCACATTCAAACTAGGGGGAGGACAGTGTTCAAAGGTGTAGGCAGACCACAGGCGGTACTGCAGGAGCCCGGGCTAGTAACATTGGGGAAGCTCATCGCCACCCCTGGACCCGACACGGGGAAGTTACTGAAATGTGAGACAGAGAAGGCTCTGAGGAGAGGCCACTTCGGAGCTGTGCCCTTTCCCTGAGGCACACAGCAGTCCACAGTGATCCCTTGGGAGGGAGCCGGGAGGGTAAATACCCTGATTTTACTCTCTTCTCTCCCTTCCATCTTCTGCTGGAGCTTCCCACTGCTGACCCAACAGGAAGGGAGAGGAAGGGAGACCATCTCTGCAGGCACTACAGCCCCGCAGCCGGGCCCCCACACTCTCAGAAGCCCCAGAATGCCCCGTTCAATGTGGGCCTCCATTGGTACCCATGTCCCGGTCCCCACAAATATCAGGGGTAGGCTTGCATAGCAGTCAGCCTCCTGGAGCCCAGAGCAGCGGGGAGAATGGTGGAGGGGATTGCAGAGGCCAACAGGGTTGCCCAGCCCATCATCCATCTTAGCTGGTAGAGCAAACCCTGAGGGGCTGCCGAAGATAGGGTTGGGGGGAGGGAGTTCTTGGAGGAGGTGATTTCTAGGCTGTGACTGTCTGCCCCCGCTCCCCCATGGTCTCCACTTCGCAGATGGTGCTTCAAGAGACAGCTTGTCGACTTGGTCATGGAGGGGGTGTGGCAGGAGCTGCTGGACAGCGCCCAGATCGAGATCTGTGTGGCCGACTGGTGAGTGAAGATTGGCGACCTGCCCCCAGCACCGACTGTGGTGCTGGCAGCGGTTCTGCAAGAGGCGCTCGTTTCCCGCCGCCATCAACCCCATGGGCTGGCCCATTACTCTGCCGCTTCATATTGAGGCTTCGAGAGGGGAAGCGATGCTCTCAGAGGTGCAGAGCCAGGGAGGGGCGGAGCCTTGGGGAGCCCAGACCCCTCACTCTGCACTCGTCGCCCCACCCCCTCTTCCCAGCAGTACCCGGGTCGCTGACATGGGAGCCGTTGACGGGCTTCGCTTGGTCTGAAACAGACCAGCCTCTCTCACCCACTCCACCCCCATAGTCGGCAACTTAGGCTGACCCTGAGGGCTTGTGGACACCCACGGCCTCAGAAGGGAAGGGATCCCCGTGTCCTGAGAACTGAGCGGCAGAGTTGGGATGGGGGCGCTGGCCGGCTTCAGAGTCTGCGGGCCAAGCACAAGCCCCCTCCTCTCCAGAGCACCCCGCTGCTCCCCAAAGCATTCGGGCTCTTCCTTCAAGCTCCTGCTCCCCCGCCGAAAATCCAGGTTCTTCCCTGGGACTCTGGCTCCTCCCCCACAGCGTCCAGATTCCTATGCCCTGGCTCCTCCTCCAGATTCCCCAGCCAGACCCCCCCATCTGCGCCATCGGGGGCGCGACCCTCGTCCAGGCGCAGGGAGGCCCAGCCCTCAGCCTCCTTCCCCACCCTAGAGACGTGGGAGGGTGGTGGGGGGCGTCCAGGCTCACCGTCCTCCCGCCCCCCGGCAGGTGGGGCGCCCGAGAGAACTGCGGCTGCGTTTACCGGCTGCGGGTCCGCCTCCTGGACGTGTACGAGAACGAAGTGGTCAAGTTCTCGGCCTCGCCCAACCCTGTCCTTCAGTGGACGGAGCCAGGCTGCCGGCAGGTGGGTCCAGAGCGCCTTCCAGACTGCCCCCGACCCGCCCAGGGGTGCACCCCACCTCTCACTCTGCTCAGGGGCGGCCCTCGGCTCTCATCCAGAACCCCCAACCATCTCTGAGCCCTTATCACAGCCCAGGCGCTGTGCATTAACTCATTTCATTAGCACACCAGCCTCGCTGATCTGCATACATTTATTGAGCGCCTACCGTGTACTGGGCACTGCTGTACGTGCTGGGAATGCAGCGGGGAACGCAAGTCCTCACACTGTGCCCCTTCTAGAGTTGAGGAAACTGAGGCACAGCTCTGGCCCAGAGTGGCACAGAAGCGTGCAGGGCCTGACCCAAGCCCAGGCTGGCTCCCGAGCATTAGCCATCACGATCACTGCACCCCACTTATCGAAACAACCTTTCAGTGGTCTCATTTCCACTCCTCATCTCCTCCCTGACCCCCCACCATGTAGACACAGCATCCAGAAAGATCCCCTTGAAAAGGCAGTCAGGTCACACGTCTCCCCTGGTTGTGACCCTCCATGGCTCCATCTCAGAGTCCCTCCAGGCACTGGTGGAAAGGAGGCGAGTCTGGACCCACGCTGCCACACGGAGGGACCCGGGGAACCTGCTAGGTGCGGGAGGCCGGGCCAAGGGCCAGAGTGTAGGACGGCGTTTATGTGAAACGTCCAGGACAGGCAGAGCCAGACAGGGAGTGGCTGCCAGGGGCCGACAGGGAGGGAGGAGTGAGGGATGGTGGCTAACAGATTCAGCGTTTTTCCCTGGGGTGATGGAAATGTTCCAGAATTAGATAGTGGTGATAGTTGCATAATGCTGTGCATAGACTAAAAGCCTCTAAATTGTACTGTTTAAAATGGTGCATTTCATGTTAGGTGAGTTTTATCTCAATAAAAAAGTTGCAAAAGATGGAAAAGCCAGACGCCGAAGTCCTTCCCTGGCCCACAAGAACCCCCAGGATCTGCTCGTTAGCTCCCTGACCTCATCTCTTACTTCTCCCCGTGCTCTGCTCCCAGCACGCTGCCACCTCAGGGTCTTTGCACTGACTGTTCCTGTCCGGAACACTCTCCTCCAGATTCCCCCATGGCTCCTTCCTCTCCTTCAGGTCTCTGCTCAAATGTCACCTCAATTTACGACCCCGCCCTCCTGCCGAATTCCCTCTGCCCCTTTCCATCCGTCTCCAGTGCCTGGTCCCCCACGAGATGGTCAGTTTCACCAGGGCGGGCTCTTTCGCTGCCTTCTTCACCGCCGTCTCCCCGGCACCAGGACAGGCCTGGCACCCGTTCCGGGGGGAGTATCTGCAATCCGGTGGAGGAGCACAGACCTCACCCTCTTGCTCTCCTCCCCCTGCAGGTCTACCATGTCTTCACCAACTTCGGCAAGGGCATCCGCTACGTGTCCTTTGAGCAGTACGGGAGGGACACGCGTTCCTGGGTGGGGCACTACGGCGCCCTGGTGACCCACTCCAGCGTGCGGGTCAGGATCCGCCTGTCCTAGCGCACCGGCCTGCGTGCCTTCCGGGAAGCACTGCCCTCCGCCAGACACCGTCTTCCACCCAGGGTGGCTGGCAGCCGGGAGCCCGAGGACGCCCGTGGACAGCGGGCTCCCACGTGGCCTCCAGGGAACACCACTTGCTGCTGCTTCAGCACGGGGCCCACACATTGTACGCAAAGACAGGGATGCAGCCAGGCTGCTCACGGCTCCCCCGGTGGGGGGCGGAGGGTACCTCGGAGGCGGTTCCTTTGCCTGCAAACTGTTTACCCACGTGGGGCTGTCAGTGGGTAGACGGAGCCAAATCAAAGGCCAAACCAGGATTTCTAATGGGGGAGGAAGCTGCCGACAATCTGGGCCAGTGGCTCCTGTCGGCGTGTTTTTGGGGTAAGCTGATGGCTGGCAGGGAGCAGAGGTGAATCTGTCAGTCTGCCCTTAAGGGGACCACCAGGGACATCAAAGGATCCCTTTCTGTTGTTTCCAGGAGTCTCGGATTCAGCTGTGGGGCCCCTGCAACCTCCACCAGCACTGCCCATCAGCATACCCTGTTAGGCCAGGCTGGAGCTGTTCCCTTCAGAATTCCTGAGGCCGAGGACCCCAACCCCTGCCCCGCCTCAGGGCAGCACACTCCGCTCCTCCACACCCCGGCCTCCTGCACCCGGCCTCCAGGAGCAGGGCGTGCCCAGAGGGGAGCTCCCGCTCCCTACCCCGCTCAGCTCAGCCAGCAAACTAGCTCAATAAAACTGGTGCTCGGTGTGAAGTGAGGGGGGATTTTTGTCTGTCATTGGTGTTCTTTCTAGCCCAGCTCTGATCCTGCAAGGCCTGGTGGGAGGATCCCACTAGTGAGAACTTCAGGAGGTGTGTGAAGTGGCATGCAACAAATGGAGGCGGCTTTGAGAACCCAGAGAGGCCACAAGGACGCACGGGACAGCTCCCACGCAGCTCCCAGCTGTTCTCCCAATGGCTCTCACCCAGGCACCCTTATCAATGCCACTTAGGCCAGGAGGAAACAGGCTCGGAGTTCAAATGACCTGCCCAAGGTCACCCAGCCCGGAAGTAGGGCGGGGGGGGGGGGGGGCTGCCCGGCCTGCAGGAAGGGGAACAGCCTCAGCGCCGCACCCCTGACTCCAGAGCTTAGAACAGTAGCCACGTGCATGCGCTTTGCACACAAAGCATCTATTGACCTTCACCAAACCCAACAAAGGGCATGCTGCGAGGGGAGCTCATTTCTGGAGGAGGAAACTGAGGCCCAGAGGGGTGTCAGTCGCCAAGACCACACAGAGGGCGAATACCGCGAGCAGGAGTTCATATCACAACCCTGGGGGTCTGTGTTTATTGCAAGCCCTTGCCTGCAGGTGGCAGTGCCGTGTCCTGTCCCAGCAGAAGAGGTCCTTCACGCCACCACTCTATACACGGGAGCCAAGGATGCTGGCAGACGCGCCTTTTTCTAACCCAATGCTGGTCCTGATGGGAGAGGCGGGGTCAGGATTTGAACCCAAGACCAGCCGCCTTTCGAGCGGGCCTAGCTTCCCAAGGTCCCGCAGGAGCCCAGAGAGGCGGGTGGCGACTCTGCCGGCGCTGCTGCTGCGCGCCCAGCCGCTGTCACTTCTTCTTCTGCACGTGGCCGCAGTCATACTTGCCGCGCACGACGGTGAGCTTGACGCCGGGCAGGTCCTGGGTGCGGCCGCCCTGCACCAGCACCACGTGGTGCTCCTGCAGGCTGTGGCCCTCGCCGGGGATGAAGCAGACGGCCTCGCGGCCCGAGCTGAGCCGCACGCGGCAGCACTTGCGGTTGGCCGAGTTGGGCTTCTTGGGCTTGCGGATGAAGGTGCGCAGGACGACGCCCTTCAGCTGCGGCCGGCCCGCCGTGGGGCCCGGCTTCGGGGGCGGCCGCTTCGGGGGCCCCTGGCGGTGCATCTGGTTCAGCGTGGCCATGGGGCGGGCGGCCCAGAGACGGGGCGCCAGGGCGAGGCCTGCAGAGACACAACCGGGAGGGCGCAGGAGGGTTACCAGCCGATGAACAGATAATAGTACCAGCGACTCCAATCTGGGGTTGCCGGCTCCGCGCCGAGCGCTTGACAAGCGTGTACTGGTTTACATCCGGGGTCCTCACAGATCACGGGAATAACAACAGGTACTGAGCAACCACCACGGGTCAGGTTCTGTTTTAGCCATTTCACATGAATTAACTCATTTTATTCTGCAAGGAGAGTATTAATTTTAATGCTGTATAAACATCATCATAAAGCGAACGCTGTGCGTCCCGTTCTATGCATGGAAGCTGCGTGAACTCATGCCATCCCCACAGCGACCTGGGACCTGGGACCTGCGGGGTAGTCCTGGGAGGTGTCACTGCTGCGCCCCCTCCTGTCACATCCACTTTCAGCCCCAGCGAACAGATTGTCAGCTGAACCTCCAAAACGGATGCAAAGCCATCTCTTTCTCCCTCCTCCACTGCATCAGCCCTGCATTCTCTTCAACCAACGTTCACGGAGCATCTCCTGGGTCTCGACTCCAATAATGAGACACAGGGATGACGGTGACGGCCCTGGGCGGGCTCTCCTGCAACTTCACTAGCACGGAAGCCCTTTCACACCCGAATGTCACACTCCCTCCACATCCAGGGCAGGTCCTGGTCTTCCTGGCCATTTCCACACGTCCTTATGTCTCGGGTTACAGCAGCATCCTCAGAGCGGAGGAGCCAGTCCTAGAAGCCTCTTCCTAGTGCTGTGCTCCTGAGCAAGACGCCTCACCTCGCAGTGCCTCAGGGTCCCCATCTGTATCGTGGGCCCCACAATCACGTCTCCCTCCCGAGCGACCACGAGATACACACGTCAGGCTAGCCCAGATGCCCTAGGCGGGGGGCACGTCTGTGCCTTGTGAGCCTCGGTGGGTGGCAAATGCGCTTGCAGGGTGAATAAGTGAGGGCATGTGATGTTAGTGGCAGGAATAAGTTAAATGATTTGCCGAAGAAATCATTGACCCGAACCGCTGGCGCCCACCGGAGGGGCGCACAGCAGCCCTCAGCGCACCCGCTTCTCCGCTCTTGCCCTTGCAGCCCGCGCTCCGCCAAAACCCATCGCGTCTCCATCCCCGATTCCAAATTGACTCCCTCGGGCTGCAGCACAGGCGCCCGAGTCCCAGCGGGGATAACCCTCACCCAGCCTCGCCTCTTACCATAACCGAGGGACGTGTTGAGGCCACGAAGAAGGCCGGACCAGGACATCCCGCCGCCTGCCGCGTCCCTGCGTTAGGGGATAAAAGACTCAGAAAGGAGGAGGGAACAGTGGCCGTAGTCGGGCGAAGGTCCAGATTCTCCCCATCCCACTCTCAGGGCCTCCTGATTCGATCTAAGGCAGTTCCTCTGACAGTCTAGCCACAACCCCTCATGCTGCTAACAAAGCCCCTCCGTGAATCTAGCCTCGCTCTGAGTAGGCTATCGGGGACCCAAACGCCTTCATCAGCATACGGGAGGAAAAGGGAAACTGAGGGAAGGTCCGGAAAGGTTTGGAGAACCCGGGGAGGCCGCTGACCTCACCGACCCTAGAAGGTTCCGCAGACACTCGGGATCCGGCCTCCAGTCCCTTCCGGGAGTTATCCCGGCGGGGATTGGCGGGTTCTGACTCTCGCGTACACCGAGGGGGCGGGGCACAGAAGACGATTGGGCAGCGACAGAGTCAATCTCAGTTAACTGTCTTCAGCCCCCACCTCCAGGATCTGATTGGCTTGTTCCCCGCAGGACGGCTGCTTTGCAATTGGTCTAAACGTAGGGTGGGCGGGACGAAGGGTGCGTGTCTCCCTGTCTCCCGTCCAAGATGGCTGCGTCCATAGCACGGCGCCTGTGGCCTTTGGCGGGCGCTCGGAGCCTCCGGCCCCGGGGAGTCTGCGTCTGCAGTCAGAGCCCAAGGAGAACTTTCGCGACGGAAAGACGAGACCGGAACCTCCTGTACGAGCACGCGCGCGAGGGCTACAGCGCGCTCCCTCAGCTCGACATGGAGCTGTTGTGCGCATGCCCGGAAGAGGCGGCGCGCGCCCTGGAGCACCGCAAGGGGGAGCTGCGGCCGGAAGAGCTGCCCGCGATCGTGAGTGCGCTTGCGCCGGCCGGCGGCCGCCTATTGGCTGTGCGCTTTCCGGACGAAGAGGGCGTGCAGGATGCTCTCCAGCAGGGGGCGGGCTTGGCGCGGGGTTTCAGTTCCTCCGCAAGTGTTGCGCACGTGTTGTGCTTGGTACCCACATCCGTGCCCGTCATCCGCGGGGTGCCCGGGCCCTGCTGTGTAGACACCCGGGCTGCGCCTGCTCCGTGGAGCTCTGCGATCCGACCTCAGGCCGGGCTTCCCCTCAAGCCACAAGGAAGATAAGGAGGCGGCGGTGTGGGCGCGGGGGAGCCTCTGGCCTTTGGAGAGCGAGAGTGGAGTCCTGCCCCTGCCCCACACGAGGCAGGCGGTTAAATGGGGTATTCAGTGAATGGATGGGTCTATTGAACAGATGGAGGGAGCGCCTGTTATGATCCAGGTGCTGAGAATAAGGCGGTGGGTAATAATAATTAATAATGATGATGGTGATGATGTTACCATGATATTGTAGTACGTGCTGGGGAGCTAGAATAGGGTCACCCTACTCCTAGACCCTGCTGGGGTACTGGGGACGGTGGGCACCCCAAAGACTCCCAGCCCTCTCTGGAACTCCCCTGCCACCCTGTTCTAAGTGCTTTATACATATTCGCCTCATTGAAGCTTTGCAACAACCTTGTGAAGTAGGTGCCATTATTTCCCCCCATGTTATCAGAGGGGAAACTAAGGCACAGAAAAGTTAATTAAAAATAAAAGGTATGGTGGTTCCTCAAAAAATTAAACAGAATTCCTATGTGGTCCAGCAGTCTCACTTCTGGGTCTACACCCAAAAGAATTGAGCAGCTCTTTGTACACCCAAGTTCACAGCAGCGTTATTCGCAATAACCGAAAGACACAAGCAACTCCAGTGTCCGTCCGTGGATAAATGGATAAACAAAATGTGGTATATCCATACAATGGACTATTATTCAGCCTTGAAAAGGAAGGAAATCCTGACACATGCTCCACCATGGACGAGCCTTGAGGACACTATGCTAAATGCAATAAGACAAATACTATAAGATTCCCCTTATGCCTAGAGTAGGCAAATTTATAGAGACGGAAAGTGGAACTATGGTGGCCAGGGCCTGGAGGAGGGGGAATGGGGAGTTAGTGTTTAATGGGGACAGAGCCTCAGTTGGGGAAGGTGACAAAGTTCTGGAGGTGGCTGGTGCTGATGGCTGCACAACCATGTGAATGTACTTCATGCCACTGAGCTGTACACTCACAAATGGTTACCATGGTCACTTTATGTGTATTTTACCACGGTTTTTAAAAGTGCTGGTTTAGAGATCCTAAATTAATTTTATAACCCACTGGCGGATCACACCCCAAAGCTTGAAGACACTGTTTCAGGGCACAGAGTGTGAGGAGGAAGATGGCGCGTGGCTTTGCAGCCGTAGCGAGGCACGGGATCGTTCCTGGGGCACTGGGGGGCTGTGGGTGCTTTTAGGCAGGACAGGGACTGTGTCAGGATGCTGCCTGGATTGGAAGGGTGAGCCCCAAGGCTGGGAGGCGGGCACAAGGATCCTCGTGGGAAACGACAGGACCTGGGTGGGTAGGAGTGGGGGATGGGGACGGACCGATCTGTTGGACGTTCATGAGGCATAAAGGATGGGACATGGTACGTGGCTGCAGGGTGGGGGTGACATATGTCCAGGAGGAGGCCTGGGGCTCCGGGGTGGGGATGGGCCAGGGGTGGGGCCAGGGGAGCAAGGGGAGGGACTGTCCCTGAGGAGAAGGAGTAGATGTGGGGGGCGATGCTCTTCCTAGAGTCACTCTTGCACGTGAGGAGTGTGAAGTGTCCAGGGGGAGCCATGAAGAGAGTCACAGCCCTCCCTGTGGCCCACCCTCCCCTGCAGGTTTCCAGCCCCAGGGAGAGGGGACAGTGGTTGTACCGTTTTGTCGAAGGGAAAGCTGCCACCAGAGAGGACAAGGGTTTGCCCAGGGACGTGGGCTCCCCGAGGGACCCTGCGGTGGTTGGTGCGCCCAGGCAGTGGGAGCTGGGGTGTGGGTCGCGCCCGGCCCTCTGGCCCCCTGTGATGGAGGGTGCAGGGTCAGCTGTGTTGGCAGCCCCACGGGGAGAGGCTGTATGGCTCCCCCTCGAGAGTGGAGGGGGCAGAGCCGGCGGGCCCTCAGCTCCGTGCCGCCCCTCTGCGCCCAAGTCCTTTCATCTTCTTGCTCTGAGTCTCATAGGACATTGTCCTGGTCGGCTCTCCCACAGTCCATCATCCAGTCCAGGGAGAGTGAGAGAGCAGGTCCTGGATGGGGGCTTACCTTCAAAGAGGTGACCAGTGGTCACACTTCCCACCTCCTCTCACGCCCGCGGTGGACCTTGGGCACGCATGGCTGCAGCGGAGGCCGGAGAGGGTCTTAATTCTGGGCAGCCGTGGGCCCAGCGAACCATCAGGAGTTCCAGTGCTGAGGGAGGGAGCGCAGAATGGCTCCCGGGGGCCAAGAGGGGTCTCTCCTCACCCCACCGCTGGTCCAGGTGGCCGGTGGGCAGGGCTCCCGCGGACGGGGCGGGGGACAGTGGCCACTTCACGTCTTTGGCCCCTGTGTCCCCCCAGATCTCGACGTGGCAGGAGCTGAGGCAGCTGCGGGCGCAGATCCAGAGCCTGGAAGAGGAGAAGGGGGCCGTGGCGGAGGCGGTGCGGGCCCTGCTGGTGAGCACGGGGCTCCAGGTGGGGGCTGGCGGCGAGGCCCCGCGCTGCAGAGAACGGGAAACCCAATTTATGGGCCTTGAAGGGTGCGCCCATTGGTTCCCGCCTGTCCCACCCAGGTTCAGGCATCCTTGGGGTTGATGCAGGCGCGGCTCCCCCACCGTCCGCAGCCTGCCTTCCTTCCCGCTCTGCCTGGCATGTTCATTTGACTCAGTTTCCCTCTTGAAGTTCAAGCTGGCTGCTATAGGACAGCAATTCCTCGCATGACTCTGCCAGGGGCAGAAAAAGGACCTCCCGGCTTGAGTGCCTTTTCCAGGAGGGGGGGCCTCCCCGAAGCTTCCAGCAGAGTCCCCTCATCTCCTGGGCCCAGGCACCCCACACCCACCGCGTCATCAGCAGGAGGCCACTCCAGCTGGGGCCCCATCCTGAACTGCAGGCTCGGGGAGGGTGGCCTGCGTCAGGGGTCCCTGGGAAAGGAGGGCGGAGGGCGGAGGGTCTCCGGTTAGCCAGCCCCAGCATCTGCCGCAGAGGGCTGAGGAGTCATCGTGACAACAGCGGCGGTCAGCCTGCGCCAGGCGCTGTTCTGGGAGCTCTCCTTGCTGACAGCCCTGGGAGCAGGTTTACATGCAAACCCAGTTTACAGTGGGGGAAACTGAGGCCCCAAGAGGTTGAAATGGGCCCAAGTCCACAGCTGGGAAGGGGGAGCAGTGGACTTGCCCCCGGGCATTTGGGCTGCTCTTCTCCGGTCCACTCGGGTCCTCTCGAGACACTGATGACATCTCCCAGTGACCCACCATGTCTGCACTGGGCCCCGGGTCACGCGCGTCCCAGGCGCGTCTCTGTCACTGTGCAGTGAGTGCTGGCTCGTCTCTCAGGGAGGCTGTGCAACAGCCCTGCTGGGGCGGTGCTGTTACTGCCCCCTTTCACAGATGGGGATACCGAGGCGCCGGGGGAAGAGCTTTGCCCAAGGGCACCCACCGTTCAGACCCAGGTCCGCCTGATTGCCTCTGCTGCTCTGGGTCGTAGAAGGTTCAGGGTGTCAAAAGCCCAGGTGGCAGGCCCCCAGATTCCCGCTCACAGCCCACCTCTCTGAGCCTCAGTTTTCCCAGCTGCAAAACGGGGGTCACGGGCTGCCAACCTCCTAGAGTGGGTGATGAAGAAATAGGATCGTGTGAGGGCCCCTGCACAGAGCCAGGCGCGAGGCAGCACTCAGTAAACGGAGCTACAGGTGTGGTTCCATTATCTGGCCCCCTCCCAGTGTTACTGACAGAGAAACTGAGGCACAGAGTGGAGGAGGGTCCAGCCAGGCTCTGGCAGAGCAAGGAATTCAGATGCCTGGCCCTGTCTGACCTTTCACCCTCTTTTTTTCCCTCCTCCCCACCCCCAAGTCCATCAACCTGACCGCCCTGTCTGTCTCTTTTCTACCAGGTGAACCAGGACAACAGCCAAGTGCAGCAGGTACTACAGGGAGTTGGGGTCCTGTCCCCTGTGGGGTGTGGGCAGCGAGGAGACCATATCGGGCATGATTCCTCCATTGTATGGGACAGAAAACACAAACAGGATTAGGGAGAAAAGAAAACCAGGCTCTATTGATTCATGAAACTAAAAAGGCTGGCTTCAGGTAGAGCTGGATCCAGGCCCTGGCCCCATATTTGGTTCTGCTTCCCTCACCAACCAGCTTTCTCCCTTTGGGAGAAGGAGAGGCAGGGTCCCCGTGCAAATAGGGCCACTTCCCTGATTGCTCCAGCTATAGTCCTGGGGCTGATTCTCATGAGTTCGGCTTGGATCATGTGCCTGTCTTGGAGCCCATCACTGTGGCCAATGCAATTGACTATTCCAGTAGGCCAGGCCTGAGTCATGTTCCCATGGACGTGCCATGGGGTAGTGAGGGGAAGTTCCTGAAGGATATTCAGGATGTTGAGCCAAAAGAACACACAACAGAGGTCCCCCACAGAGGTCCAGCTAGCACAGCTCAAGGTCAGAGCGGCTGAGGGGCCCTCCCCCTCTCCCGGGCTGACCCCGCTCGCCCCACTCCCAGAACCCCCACTATCAGCGTCTGCGGGCTCGTGGCCGGGAGATCCGGAAGGAGCTGGCGCTCCTGTACCCGAGGGAGGCCCAGCTGGAGGAGCGCTTCTACCTGCGGGCGCTGAGGCTGCCCAACCGGACCCACCCGGACGTGGTGAGCGCCAGGCGGGGTGGCGGGGGAGGCCCGGGCCGCCTCCTGCCACCTGCCCATGACACCACTGTCTTCCTGCAGCCCGTCGGGGACGAGAGCCAGGCCCGAGTGCTCCATGTGGTCGGGGACAAGCCAGGTGGGCCACACCCCACACTGGGGGCGGGGGCCCCTGGGGTCCGGGCCTGGCCTGGTGCCTGTGGAACCCCCAGGGTGCGGGAGGCGGCTTCATCTTGCCACCTCGGCATCCGTGGGGCACATCTCCCCTCACCTCGGACTTCCTGTGTGTCTCCCTGGTGTGTGCGTGTGTCTGTCTGTCTGTCTCCCTTGTCCCTCTTCCTTGCCTCTCTCTTCCTCTCTCACCCCATCGCTTTTCACCCACATCCAGCGTTCTCCTTCCAACCGCGGGGCCACCTGGAAATCGCCGAGAAGCTCGACATCATCCGCCAGAAGTGAGCCCGCTTGAGGCCCCCTCCTCCGCCCCGCCCTCCCCACGCCAACAGCTGGCTGCCGGCCCGCCGTCGGGCTCAGCACGGCCTGGGGGACCGCCAGGGCCGCGCCCCACATGAATATTTGATGCCCAGTCCCCGTCTAGCAGCTGGGCCTCTGCCCCCGCCAGCCCTGGCCCACACACCCCCGCCTGTCTGCCCGTCTGTCCCCCAGGCGCCTGTCCCACGTGTCCGGCCACCGCTCCTATTACCTGCGCGGAGCTGGGGCCCTCCTGCAGCACGGCCTGGTCAACTTCACACTCAACAAGCTCGTCCGCCGGGTATGGGCCAGGGTGGGAGGGCTGCCTGGAGGCGGTGGCATTGAGCTCGGAAGGCTCAAGGCAGGCAGGGGGCGGGGGGGAAAGAGGGGGAGGACCTCTGCTCCAGTCGCTGTTGCAGAGCTTTCCATCTATTATTGACATGTTGAACTCCTGTGAGTCGGATGCTGTTATTATCCTCAATTTAGAGATGAGACCTTGTGGCCTGGAGAAGGAGGAGCCCAGGGTCTCCCGGCTAGTGTAGAGTGGCGTGTAACCACTGCACCTCACTGCCTGCCTTGGCGTAAAGGGGGTGTTGGGGAAATACAGACTCGGTTGACAGTGGAGGGGCCAGCGGGGCTGAATGCACAGGGCGTTGGCCATGGTGAAGAACTTGGACCCTTCCTGGGGGCACTGGGGAGCCATGGAAGGCTTTATGCAGGGGAGGGACCCGGTCTGAGCTGTCCTTCAGAACTGCAGCTCCGGCTGCCCTGTGCGTGTGATGTGAGTGAGGAGCCGTGAGGCCCCACAGGAGGGCCCGGCGCCGGACCCCAGGGCTCCGGGCCAGCCTCGAGCCCCCTGCTCGGGCCTCCCCCATTTTGTCTGAGGTGGAATGGACCTGAGTGACAACGGGGAGCCACTGGCCCCCTCTGCAGAGTCCCTTCCTCAGGCTGAACCTGGGGTCTGGGGGGTCCCGGCTGTGCCCCTCACCCCTCGCCTCCCCCCACAGGGCTTCACCCCCATGACGGTGCCAGACCTTCTCCGCGGAGCTGTGTTTGTGAGTGAGGACCCTCCGCCCCCTGCGCCCAGGGTGTGTCAGGCCCGGTTCTGGGGGCCCAGGCCGGGAGACCAGCCTGTCTCCCCTGAGGGACGGCCCTGGGGCTGTGTGGAGGGGGTCAGGCCGTAACTGGGAGGCCAGGGGGTTCCAGATGCTTCCAGGGGAGGAGCAAGGGTTGTGACTGCAAAATGAAGGAGGCCAAGGCTACCCATCCCCTGACCTCTGACCTGGCCTCCTCCTCAGGAAGGCTGTGGGATGACACCAAATGCCAGCCCATCCCAAATTTACAACATAGACCCCTCCCGCTTTGAAGACCTCAGCCTGGCCGGGACGGCAGAGGTGGGGCTGGCCGGTAAGCACCTGCCTGGGGCAGGGGGGTAAGGACACCTCCAGTGTCCTCAGAGCAAGAGGGGTTGTAGGGGGACAACCAGGAGCATCCTGGGGGGGCAGCTGCCTGCCCAGGATATCTTCAGTGACCCCAGGGTCGACGTGTACAGTTGTGTAGGTTGTTTACTGCACAATGGTACAGTGAGGATCCAGCCACATGCCCTGACGTGAGGGTGTGTCCGCCAGAGGGGATACCTCTTCTGGTTCTCACAAAGGTTTCCTATGGACGGATGGGGGCCCTGGCTGACCCGTCCTGTCCCCTTCTCCTCCCAGGCTACTTCATGGACCACTCTGTGGCCTTCAGGGACCTGCCCATCAGGTGACGCCCCATTCCTTGAGACCTTGTCCCCACCTGTGACATTCCCTCCCCGCTCCCTGACCGCACCTCCCCTGCTCCCCCAGGATGGTTTGTTCCAGTACCTGCTACCGGGCGGAAACAGACACAGGGAAGGAGCCGTGGGGGCTCTATCGCGTGCACCACTTCACCAAGGTTGGCACAGCTGGGACGGGCGAGGGGCTCACCCCCATGGCCCAGGGCCCCTGACCCCTGTGCCCCTGCCCTGCCCCAGGTGGAGATGTTCGGGGTGACAGGCCCCGGGCTGGAGCAGAGCTCGCAGCTGCTGGAGGAGTTCCTGTCCCTTCAGATGGAGATCCTGACGGAGCTGGGCCTGCACTTCCGGTGCGGGGGTGGGGCGGGGGTGGAGGGCGGCGCGTGGTGGGAGGGGGCGTGAGGGGGGACCGGCCGGGTGCTCCCCACCTTGAACACCCTCACCACCTCCTCTCCCTTCGCCTCTTTCTCCTGTGTTAGGATTGTATGTCCACCTGTCAGTCTGTCAGCCCCATAGAGGATTCGAGGGCTGTGAGAGCATCATGGGCAGCAGGGGACGCCCCAGTGTGGAGGCCCAGGCCCCCTCCCTCCCGTTGCTCCGCATCCCTGGGGCGTGCCTCATCTGCATGGGCCTCCATGGCTCTCACCCCCCAGTGGGGAGGGGCTGGGGGCCTATGCCCCAGACGTCGCAAGCCCGCCTCCTCTCACAGTCAGTCAGGCACACGTAGCTGTTGGGAGGGGCTGAGAGATGCTGACTTTTTGGGGGTGACCCATTGCAAAACCTGGGGGCGCTGTTCTTCCAGAAGGTGAGGATGGCCCTGCAAGCAGCCTGCAGACTCGGCCGCCCGCCCTTCCTCTCCCCGTCCTCCTCGCCCAGCGGCTCCTTCCCTCCTCCTCCCCCTCCTCCCCCTCCTCCTCCTCCACCGTCTCCATCACCACCTCCTGCCTCACCTCTTCCCCTTTGCCACTGTCACCTCCTCCTTTCTTCCTGCCATTTCCCTCTTTTTTCAGCTACCTTCTCTTCCGTCGCCTCCATTTCCTCCTACTCCCCCTCCTCCGTCAGCTCTCCCCCACTGACCCTCTCCCTGTCTTTCTCCTCGGCGACAGGGTCCTGGACATGCCCACCCAGGAACTGGGCCTCCCCGCCTACCGCAAGTTCGACATCGAGGCCTGGATGCCAGGCCGCGGCCGCTTTGGCGAGGTGAGCCCCCACCCCCAGGGGATGCAGGGTAGGAGAGAGGGTGGGACTACCCCCCCACTGCTGCCGAGCCTCTCAGCCCACCCGGCCCACCCCCAGGTCACCAGTGCGTCCAACTGCACGGACTTCCAGAGCCGCCGGCTCCACATCATGTTCCAGACGGAGGAGGCCGGGGAGCTGCGGTTCGCCCACACGGTGAGCGCCCGCACACCCTCACCCGCCCTCCCCAGCGCCTCCCTCCCCAAGGCCCACACCGCGTTGGCCTGCCCCTGGCCCTGAGCACGCGTCTCCCCCAGGTGAACGCCACGGCCTGTGCTGTCCCTCGCGTCCTCATCGCCCTCCTGGAGAGCAATCAGCAAGAGGTGCTGGGCGGGGAGGATGGCACCCAGAGAGGCAGTGGGTGGAGGGCCGGGGCAGTGGCAGCATCCTGAGGCCTGCTCTGTCCCCAGGACGGCTCGGTCCTCGTGCCCCCTGCCCTCCAGCCCTACCTCGGCACCGATCGGATCACGGCCCCCACCCACGTGCCCCTCCGGTACATCGGCCCCAACCAGCCCCAGAAGCCCAGGCTCCCGGCCTGAGAGCTCATCCTCCTCCTCCTTCCTGGGGCTCAGGGGCCCCTGGACACCTGGAACCTGTTTTCCTGACGTCTGCGTTCCTCCTGTCGGCTCCATGGCAGGGTCCCCCCCTGGCCTCCGGCACCTCTCCCACTTCCCTACTTCCTCAGAATCAGTCAGGGACCTGTTGTCATTGGGGGTCCCGACCCGCACTGGAAAGCAGCGGTCTGGGGACTGAAGGCTCTGGGGCTGGGGAAGGAGAGAGAGGGGCCTCCGCACTCCTTCCCCGTCCCTCCCTCCGTGCGCAGCAGAAAGTCCCCAATAAACGGTCAGAACGAAGGCCTTTGTGGATCTGCGGGCGAGGGGGATGGCCCTGGCCTCTGGCGGGCTGCTGGGCCATGGCTCGGCGGTGCTTAATCTTCGAAGGGTCTCCGGCTGCAGGGACTGGCTGGAAGCATCCAGCAACCACCGGAGCACGTGGAGGGTGGCGTGGGGGCCGCCAGGGGAGCCGAGAGGATGCCGAGTCCTCTCCCCTTCCTCTGGGACGAGTGGCACCTCGCACCGACCCCAGTTGCAACCCCACCCCTCGGCCCCTGGCTCCAGGCAGCGGTCCAGCAGGCAGCGCAAGCTCTGGGAGGCCAGAACTCGCTCTCCGTTCCTGCAGCTGTGTGCCCAGCGCTCCGGCCGCACCCTTGGGGCATCCTCCCCTCTTCTCTTCATTCACGTCCAGTCCTCCAGCAAACCCTGGCAGCTCCTCCCTCGGAGTCTTTCCAGAAGCTGCCCTTGCTCTCTCGTCCCGGCCCCTCCCTGGACCTCTTTGCCGTCTTCCTGCTCCCTGACCCCCACACAAGGCCAGGGACCCTGGGGACCCCTGCGTCAGGTCACATCCCTTGCCTGCTCAGAGCCCTCCTGTGGGGAAAGGACAGAGTTGTCACCATGGTTCACAAAGCCCCGCATGACCTGCCCCTCACCGTCCTCTTCAACCCACTGTTGTCTGTCCCATTCTCTGCCCTGCGGGTGTCACTCTGCCCACTCGTCCCCACCTAAGGCCTTACCCTGCTAGTCCCCTCCCGGCCTATCTTCCGTGGATCTTGTGTGATGGCCTCCATTCTATCACTCAGGCCCTAGCCCAGCGTCACCTCCTCAGAGAGGACTTCCCTGATCACCTGGCCAACGTAACCCCGCAGCTCTCCGCTCTCACCCGCTGGCCTGCCACCTCTGTCATGTCCTCCTTCCTTCATGATGTGTATTCGAGTGCTGTTTGCCTCCCTTCTCCAGTGTCCGCTCCACGCGGGCAGGGGTGTTTGCCCGTCATTCACTGCCGCAGCCCCAGGGTCTGGAAGAGGCTGGGCATACAGAAGGTGCTTAATAAAGTCACTGGGATAAAGGTGCTCGGACCTGTGCAGTCCCCTGCCTAAGTTACTCATCCACACGCATCTAACTCTCCCCGCCTTGCTGTGCAGCCGGTCACCAGCCCTCCTTCACTAATGAGGAGACAGGTCTCAGAGAGGTTAAGCAGTTGTCCCAGGGCTGCACAGCTGGTGGTGGTGGAGCCCAAGCACAACCCCTGAGGAAGGAGGTTTAATGACCCATTTTCCCAATGAGACTGGGGCCAAGGAAGGGAAGGAGTTGCCTGAGGTTGATCTGTAAGCGGCTGCCCCTGGATTCGAACGCAGGTCGGCCTGCCAGTGTGGCTCTAAGCACATCAGACCCTGTTTCTCCAGGAGGGAAGCCCCAGCCCTCCATGCTGGCACCAGGGGCTGGAAGCCAGAGGGGAGCGGGTGCAGGGCGTGGGCCCCCATGAATAATTGAGGGTCTCGGGCAGGCCGCCGTCCCGCAGCTGTCACCCTGCCAAGGGCGGGGAGGGAGCCGTGGTGACATCCCCTCCTCCCCTGGGGGGCCGCAGGCGGGTTATAAGGAGCTGCCGCCCAGCCAGCTGCACCGCGCTGAGCAGCCTGGTCGACGCCCCACCATGCAGCGCTGTGGGCCCGCCCCCCTGCGGAGGCTGCTGCCACTGCCCCTGCCCCCGCTGCTGGTGCTGCTGCTGGGGGCCGGTGAGTGCCAGACACCGGGGAGACTGGGGCGGCCAGCCTGGGAGTGGGGTGACCGGGGCAGGGATGGTGCAACCCAGTGGAGTCGGACTACACTTAATGGGCCGAACTCCCAGGTGGGCTGGTGCACCTGGCAGGTGGGCTGGGGCGGGGGGCCCGTGGGTACCAGGCGGCCCTTGGAGCTGAAATCAGCACCGAGGACAGCGCCGAGGGTCCAAGCCCAGCCCCCATCTCCTTCCTCACAGCCACCGCTGCTCCCTTGGCACCAAGACCCTCCAAGGAGGAGGTGAGGAGTGTGGCCCCCTTGCCCTCCCTGCCAGCCTCCTCCGTGATCCTCGTCTCCCCTCTAACCCTGCAACTGTTCTCATTTCCCCCATCTGCCCTGCCCTCAACCTCCCCTCTGACCCTTCATCCCAGCTGACCCGCTGTCTGGCAGAGGTGGTCACAGAAATGCTGACGCTGGGCCAGGCCCAGAAAGGCCCCTGCACCGCTCTCCTCCACAAGGGTAAGGAGCCCCTGCCGCGCCCAGGGGTCTGCCCAGGGCCACCTGGAGGAAGGGGTCCTCTTCTCACTCCAGAGCCCTCCTGCCTGGGCTGGCACAGCACTGCCCAGTGGGTCCAGCCTGATGGAGCTGGGGCCCCAGCCCCACCCTTGGGCTCCCTGCAGAGGAACGGGAGCGGGGCAGAGAATGTCCTCTCCCAGTGCTGGCAGTCCCCCTGTGGGGCCTCAGGCAGCCCCCCAGAACCCCTCTAGCTCCGTTTCCAGGTCTGCTGCACCGAGAGCATCCTCTCTTTCCACTAGAAATGTGTGAGACAGAGCCCCACGGCTGTGTGTCCACCGGGGAGAAAGGCCTCCTGGTTGGGGCCTTGAAGAAGCAGGAGGCTGGGAAGACGAGGTCCAGCCACGAGGCGAGGGACGAGGAAGAGGAGGCAGCAGAGAGGACCCACAAGTCCGAGGTGCGGGAACAGGTCATCCGCAAGCAGCTCCACAGCCAGCTCCGCCACGAGGAGGACCGCGAGGAGGAGGAGGAGGAGGAGGAAGAGGAGGAGGAGGAAAAGGAAAAGAAGAGGGGGCCCTTGGACACCTCCGAGGGCCCGTGGAAGCGGCATTTAGAGGGTGGAGGGGGGCCCCGGCAGCGGGTGGCAGAGCAGGCCAGTGACGAGGAGACGGCCCAGTTCGAGGCGGAAGAGAAGGGTGTGCAGGTGCTGGGTGGGGGCCGCGGCCTGTGGCAGGGGGCCCGGGGGCGGGGAGGAGAGAGGCCCGAGGACTTGCCGCACCACTACCACCTCCGCCAGCCGGAAGCTGAGGCCAAGCAGGAGGAGAAGGAAGAGGCTTTGGAGAAGGAGGTGAGCGGAGGAGGCAGTGGGGGCGCAGGGTGGACCAAATGTCAGTGGGATTGCTACCCAACGGCTACCAGGGTTGGGCCGTAAACAGCGAGATCCACCACGAGTGGGTCACGGTGACCAGGATGATGCCAGGACTAGGTAGCAACATCCAAGCAGGGCCTCTACTTGACCAAGACGGCTTCCGTACTGGATTCCAGTAACCACGATGGCTGCCGTTATGGCACAGACGCGTCCAAGTTAGCCACCACTGCTAGTCCAAAACAAGCCAGTTGGCCGCATGGAAAGCAGCCGCCATGCCTGGTTCACGGAACTATAGAACCATCGCTGGGTCATGGAATGTAAGATGTCACCACGATTGGTGGCAGTAGCCACAGGGGCCGTCCCATCGCTAATGGGCCATGGCCTCCGGGTGGGCACCCCGGCTAGGCCCACGTCTGCTGCTTTTGGCTCCGGAGTCAACACAGGCCTCACGTGTTGGCCAACATAACTCTTCCAGGGTCGTGGTGACTGCTAGGGCCACCACTGCCATCCAGGACGACCACTGCTGGCTACCATTGTGTGGACAGACATGGTCACGGGTGACCACTGAGGAGGCCTACCCTTAACGGTGGGCGCTGACCACCCCGTTTCTGATCCCAGCAGGAGCGTGAGATGGAGCGGCTGGAGCATGTCAGAGAAGAGCTGAAGGAGGCGGCGGCGATGTTGGGGGAGGAGCTCCAGAGGGCGGGCTGACCCCCGACCTCACGTCCTCCTTCCCAACACACCCAATGGCTTAGGATTCTTGACCCCCAGGGCCCCCACCCCGCTCCCCCACCCACAGGAGTGGGATGAGGAGTGTGCCTTGGAAGCAGGCCTGCGGGGCTAGGCGGGAGCTGGGGAGAGCACTGGGCTCGGCCCGGCTCAGGAAACACCCGACCCCCATCTTGCCCACCAACCCTTCCCAGTGAATAAAGCGCAGAGAAAACCACCCAGGCGGACTGTGAGGGACTTGCTTTCCGAGGGCCAGGGCCCGGGAATGAACCAGAGGCCCGGGAATGAACCAGAGGCCCGGGAAGGCGCCCGGCCGTCCGCACTCTGGCTGGCAGAACTGGGATTTTATTAAACTGGAGATTCTATTCACAAGGCGGTCAGACAGGGTCATCAGGGAGAGGTTTGGAGGCTGGGGCGGGAGGTAGCGGGTTCTGGCTCCGGCCTCTGTGGACCACGATGTCGTCGTATTCATCCTGGGGGCAGAGGGGACAGGCAGAGGGCTAGGCGGCCGCCACCTGCCGCTGCCCAGTTCCTCCACCCACCCTGAGCGGTGGCTCTGCCCTTGAAGCCCGAGGGCCCCGCTGGTCCAACGCCCCTGCTCCTAGCTCTCCCCCCACCACTTCCAAGGTCGCCTCTCCCTGGCCTGTGTCGTCCCCTGGCTGCTGCCGGGGCTCCAGGCCTGCTGACGCGGGTTCTCAGCAGCCACAGCCCCGAGGTCTCCCTCCTCCGCCCACTCCCTCCGCCTTCACCCAAATTCCTCAACCGCCAACAGGCACCCTTGTCCCCTGCCCAAGGCAGTGCCTCTGCTGCCTGAGTTCCCCAACGAAATCCCCTCACCGCTGGCTTTCCCCACTCCTGTCTCAATCATGGCTGCCCGATGTCACTGGCACCGCTGCCTGAGTTCTCTAATCGCAGCAGCCCAAGGTCGGTCTCCGTGCGCTGCCAGACGCCTGTTCTCCCCCTTCCGACCTGCCCATTTACCCTGACCCCCCAGCTGGGCCACCCGTCTCTCCTCCTGACTCACGCCCTCGTCCCCGCTGTCGCTGTCGCTACTGCTGCTGCTGCAGGGGCCGGGCTTCTCGTCCTCGTCCTCGGGCTCAGGGGCTCCGTGTGCACGGAGGAGGCGGGCGAGGTTGGGGTTGGGCCGGAGCGTGGCGCTGCCCAGCGGGGTGCGGCCACCGTACATGCGGGCTGTGGGGTCGGCGCCCGCCCTCAGGAGAAGCTCCAGCACGTCGGCTGCCTGGGCCTCAACAGCCAAGTGCAGGGGGCTCCGGCCGCACGTGGGCTCCTGGGAGGGGCAGCAGAGAGGTCAGAGGAGGCCCGCTCCCCACCCCCACCGGAGGACAGCCCCAACCCAGCCGCACCTTCTCCCCGGGGCGGCTCACCGGTTTGTTGAGGTCAGCTCCAGCCTCCCGGAGCAGCTGGACCATCTCTGCATCTTTGTGGATGACGGCCACATGGAGTGGGGTGTGGCCTGGGGACAAAGTGACTGGTGTCAGATGATGGAGGCAATGCCATGATCCTGGGGGAGGGCTTTGTGGCCTGAGGGTTTGGGGTCTGGCTCCTGAGCTCCTGGGTATGGCAAAGAGGCACCTGCATCCCAAATGCCTAAGTCTCGGGTGGTCTGGAAAGTGCTGGAACTGCCACTGCCTGGGGTGGGGGGCGATTGGGACTATGGGTGAGGAGCCTGGGGTCTCTGGACGGGAGGCCAGGATCTCGGGGCCAAGAGACCTGAGTCTCTGGTCTTACTTCACGAAGGACTTGCCCCCAACTGAGTAGTTGAAGGGCCTGTGACCTTGAGGGGTGGGATGGGCCCTGAACACTGGGTCCTGGGTGATCTCAGTCTCCTCGTGGAAGGGCCTGGTCCCAGGTAGCTGGGCTTAGAGATGGGGGAGCTCAGACTCAGATGCCAGGGCCCTGGGTAGACGGGGTCGTTTTTCCTATGAGACCTGGCTGACGATGGCTGTCCCTGAAGCCAGTGTCAATTTCTGGGAACACGGGCTGCCAAAGTTTCACAGAAGGCCTGGGCCTTGAGTTCCCTCGTCCTGGGTGGGCAAGGACCTGTGGGGGGCCGAGGGGCCTGCAGGGTGAGTTGTGCCTTCCAGCTGGGGAGCCCCGGCCTAACAATCAGATCGTAGCTCTAGGCTCACGGGTGACAGGTCTGGGTCCAGCTGGTCTGGGACCCCCAGTTGGGAGTCCTGGGTCCCACATGTCCATTCCTATTAATCCAGGGCCAGGGTGGGAGTCCTTGTTCGTGATGCGTGGGTCCCTGACGCCTCAGGATTCCTTCCCAAGGGGCTGGGTCTTGAGCCAGGAGAGCTGAGCTAAGAGCCGGTGCTCTTGTCCTGCCTGGGAGCCTGGCCCCTGCCCGGGGACTGGAGACCTCACCCTCATAGTTTTCAGCCTCAAGTTGCAGCTTCCAGTCCTCCTCGCTCTCATCCTCTTCCTTCTCCAAGTCGGGGTCGGGGTACAAGGCAACAGGAGTATGGTCAGTGTTGGGGGTGTGGTCGGGGTCCTGAGCGAGGTAGGTGCTGGGGGCTCCCCGGGGGCGCCGGGGGCGAGGCTGGAGCAGCACACGAGCGCAGGCGTGTGCCCCCACACGGCAAGCCAAGTGCAGCGCCGTGTGGCCCCCACGCTCTGCCACGCGCAAGCCGGCGCCTGCTGCATACAACTTCTCCACCGTGGATGCCTCCTCCAGGATGGCTGCCAGGTGCAAGGCTGTCTGCAGGAGCAGAGGGAAGGGGTTAGGGGCCACACTGAGAATCCTGGCCCCCAAGACCGACACTGTCCCCCGGTGGCTCACCTGGCCCAGGTCATTCTGCAGGTCCAGGTACTCAGTGCCAGCCGCAAAACCCAGGAGGAAATCCAGGAAGGGTTCATGCTGATGAATGACAGCCAAGTGCAGCGCCCTGAGGACAAAGACTGGGGTCAGAGGCAAGAGGTCAAGTACTCTCGTGTTTCTTCACTCAACAAACATGGAGCACCGACTGTGTGCTAGGCACTGTGACCACAGTTCTGGAAGCAGTTGTCAGGAATCTGGGAGGGGCAGGTCTGAGTCAACCCAGCAAATTTGTTTAATCAATATTTATTAAGTGGGACTTCTACTTCCTCCCAAGATGAAGTCACCGGACTAGATTTCCCTCAAAAAAATCAGACAAGATACAGTTTATGAAACAACAGTTTTCAAGATACTGGACATCACTCGATGAATGAAAATGATCCCTGAGAGAGAGGAAACAAGTGAGATGAGTCCTCTGACGGACTGGCACGGCTCACTGTGGTGACAGTTTCCAAGCCACAGAGCAGTGAGGGGGAACCCCGCCAGGGCCCAGCAGACTGCCCGAGGTGAGGAGGTGGAGCTGAGTCTGGGGAGAGCAAGGCGGCTAGAGTCATAGAGCAGAGACCCCGAGAGGAGAGCACCCCACAGGGAGAGACCCCAGAGATCTGCAGAGGGGACTCTTGAGTACTGAGGACAACACTGATTGGTGCGCGGGTATAAGGAAATACCCCACTCTGGGGGAAAAACCACCCAAAAGGGTTAGAGAACCATGCCCATTGCTCACACGGGGCCAGGAATACCCTGTTCCCACCAGCCAGTCTAGGAAAGACCCATAATTCACAGGACATTGGGTAGAATATTCAGGAAGGTTTTGCCTCAGTAGTGGGGAATAATGAGTCTTAGATGGACCACTGCTCAGGACCCACCTAACAAATCATAAACGCAAAACCCAAAAGAATCAAGCTACTTGCAAGTATTGTAACTGCATCCCAGAATAACAGGTAAGACTATTTATAGGAATACAAGATATCCAGCCTAAGAAGGTAAAATCCACAATGCCTGGCAGCTAATCGGAGATTATCAGCATGCAAAGAAGCAGGAAAACATGCTCCATAATGAGAATAATCAATCCGTTGAAATTGACCCAGAAACGAGCCAGATGTTAGAATTAGTGAACAAACAGTAAAACAATTCATTATCACTGTATCCCATACATTCAAAAAGTTAAGTAGAGACATGGATGATAAAAGAAAAGGACTCAAATTGAACTCCCAGAGATAAAAACTGTAGTGCCTGAAATGAAAAATATACGGGATGGGGTTAACAACAGGTTGTACACTGCAGAAGAAAGGATTAATGAACTTGAAGACTTCATGATAGAAACTACCCAGAAAGAAACACAAGGAGAATATTTCAAAATGAAGAGAACATCAGTGAGCTGTGGGACAACTTCAAGCCGCCTAATATATTTGTGGGGTTTTTGTTTGTTTGTTTTTTGAGGAAGATTAGCCATGAGCTAACATCTGCTGCCAATCCTCCTCTTTTTTGCTGAGGAATACTGGCCCTGAGCTAACATCCGTGCCCATCTTCCTCTACTTTATATGTGGGACGCCTGCCACAGCATGGCTTGACAAGTGGTGCCACGTCCACACCCGGGATCCAAACTGGCGAATCCCGGGCCACCGAAGTGGAACATGCAAACTTAACCGCTGCGCCACCGGGCCAGCCCCAGCCTAATATATTTGTAACTGAGGTCCCTAAAGGAGGAGAGGGTTAGACAAAATAACTGAAGAAACAATGTCTGGAAATTTTCCAAATTTGGTGAAAACTATGAACCCACAGATCCAAGAAGCTCAATGACTCCCAGGAACAAGAAATACAAAGAAAACTACATCAACGCCCGTGATAAAAAATCTGTTCAAAATCAGTGAGAAAGATAAAGATCTTAAAGGCAGCCAGAGAAAAAGATACCTTAAGTACAGGGGAATAAAAATAAGGATGACAACTGATTTCACGCGGGAAATAATGCAAGAGAACACAGTAGGGCGACATCTTGGAAGTACTCAAAGACGGCCAACCTAGAATTCTTTAACCCAGCAAAAATATCTTCTAAAAACAAAGACAAAATAAAGTGTTTTCAGATACACAAAAGCTGAAGGAACTCAGCAGACCCACACCACGAGAAATGTTAAAGGAACTCTGCCAGCAAAAGGTAGATGCTCTCCGATGGAAAAACGGATCTATACAAAAGGATAAAAAACACCAGAAATAGTAACTATAGGAGTAAATACATGTTTTTTCTCTTAGTGTCTAAGTCTCTTTAGAAGACAACTTTTAAGAAATAATTGACTGTTTAAGCAAAAATAATAAAAATATTTAGTGGAGCTTATGACATACATACAAGTAAAATGTATGACAACATTGCATAAAGGCCAGGAGGGGACAAATAGAAATACACTATTCTGGGGCCAGCCCCGTGGCTGAGTGGTTAAGTTCGCGCGCTCTGCTGCAGGTGGCCCAGTGTTTCGTCGGTTCAAATCCTGGGCGCAGACATGACACTGCTCATCAAGCCACGCTGAGGCAGTGTCCCACATGCCACAACTATAAGGACCCACAACTAAGAACATACAACTATGTACTGGGGGGCTTTGGAGAGAAAAAGGAAAAAAATAAAATCTTTAAAAGAAAAAAGGAAATACATTATTCTAAGGTTCTTTTACTCTATGCAAAGTGGTGTAACATCACTTGAAGGCAGCCCATAATAAGTTAAAGCTGTACTATAAGCCCTAAAGCAGGGGTCAGCAAACTTTTTCTTTTTTTTCGTGTGGAAGATCGGCCCTAAGCTAACATCTGTGCTCATCTTCCTCTATTTTGTATGTGGGATGCTGCCACAGCATGGCGTGACAAGCGGTGCTAGGTCTGTGCCTGGGATCCGAATCTGTGAGCCCCCAGCCACCAAAGCAGAGAGCGTGAACTCAACCACTCTGCCACCGGGCCAGCCCCGGCAAACTTTCTCTGTAAGGGCCCAGGTAAATATTTTAGGCTTTGTGGGTCACAAGGTCTCTCTTGTACTACTCAACTCTGCTGTTGTCATGGAAAAGCAGCCATTGGCAATATGTCGATGAACGAGTGTGGCTCTGTTCCAACAGAACTTTACTTATGGAGACTAATTAGAATTTCCTATAATTTTCATTTGCCACAAAATATTCTTCTTTTTATTGGTTTCAACCATTTAAAAACGTAAAAACCATTCTTAGCTCATAGCCATCCAGAAGCAAGTGGCTGGCTGGAGGCCACTGTTTGCCAACCCTCGTCTTTCAAAGCCACCGCTAAGATAACAGACAGTTAAAACTGATAAGCCAACAGAAGAAATACAGGGGAATAAAATTTGCTCGTTCCAAAAGAAGCCAGAAAAATGGGAAAAGGGAAACAAGGGAGAGAAAAGTGGAAAATGACTAACAATATGATAAACATAACCATATCAATAATTAAATTAAGTGTAAATGGTCTAAACACTCCAATTAAAAGGAAGAAATTGTCAGATTGACTTAAAAAGTAAAACTTAACTCCATGCTGCCTAGAAGAAACACTCTTTAAATATAAATATTAAAAAAAATAGGTTAAAAATAAAAGGGTGGGAAAAGATATACCACCAGTCAGCCAAAAGACAGCAGGAGTATTTTAATATCAGAAAAAATAGATTTCAAAGCAAGGACTATTACCAGGGATAAAGAAGGTTAGTTCATAAGGATAAAGAGATCAATTAATCAAGAGGACATAATAATCCTAAACATATGTGACCCTAATAACAGAGCATCAAATTACATGAAGCAAAACCTGATAGAATTTCAAGGGGAAATAGACAAATCCACGATTACTGTTGGAGATTTCAACACCCCTCTCTCAATAGGTGAAAGAACAAGGAGACAAAATCATTAGCAAGGAGACAGACTTGAACAACGTTACAAACCAACACGACCTCTAACTGACATATAGCAGACACTACACTCCACGAAAGCAGAACACACACTGCTTTCAAGCGCACACACCACATTCTGAGCCATAAAACAAGTCTCCATAAATTTAAAAGGATTCCAGTCAAAGTATGTTCCCTATCCACAATGGAATTAAATTTAAAATCAATAAAAGAGAGATATTTAGAAAGTTCCCCGAATATCTGGAAACTAAATAACATACCTCTAAATAATCCACCGGCCAAAGGAGAACTCAGAAGAGAAATTAGAGAGTATACTGAATTAACAGAAACTAAAAACACACGTATCAGAATTTGTGAGCTATGCTAAAGCCGCGCTCGGGGAAATTTACAGCACACAATACCTTTATTAGAGAAGAAGAAAGGTCTCAGATCAATGACCTCAGCTCCCACCTTAAGAAACTAGAAAGGGAAGAACAAATTAAAGCCAAAGGAAGCAGAAGAAAGAAATAATGAAAGTCAAAACAGAGATCAATGAAATAGAAAGAGAAAAAAAAAGAGAAAAGTAATGAAACCAAATCTGGCTCTTTGAGAAGATCAACACTTACTGAGTCTTCCTATGGGGATACAGAAGTAAAGACAACACACAAACGCAGGGACAACCCCCTCCTGGGCCCTTACCACCGCTGCTCCTTGTCCCTGGACTGCTCGTCTGGCCAGAGAGTCTGCTTGTCTCATTTTCCTGCTTTATTTTTCTCCAGAGAACGTACTACTTTCTGACAAACCATACTTCTTTCTTTTTCTTCTTTCATTTCTTTCTTTCTTAGTTTCTCCCCATCTTTCTTTCCTCTTTCTTTGTTTCTTGCCCATCTGTCTTTCTTTCTCTCTGTCTCCCTTTCTTTCTTTCTCTCTCTTTCTTTCCTTCTCTCTCTCTTTCTTTTTCCTCTCTTCCTTCCTGTCTTTCTCTCAGTCTGTCTGTCCTTCTGGCCATCCACACACCCTCGCTAGAATGGACGCTCCCCAGGTTTTTGTCTTTTTCCTTCAGGTGCCATATCACCAGCACCTCAAACACGGCCTGGAACATGGTCGAGTTTGATAAATATTTGTTTAACACAGGAATGTCTGCTGTCATGGAGTTTATATTTTCTCTTTGAATGTAAGATTTGAAAACTAGAGCTCAGAAGGTGGGATCTTAGAGTCAAAGGTCAAGTATGAATTGGGAAATCAAAATCTAAGGGTCATAAATCAAGAGCTCAGGAGCACAGACCGTATTTGGAGGTTAGAGGTCAAGAGGAGCCTTCCTGAGCTACAGTTTTAACAACGGTCTCAGGACTGGGGTCAGGAGGGTCAAATCGAGTTTAGAGATCAATGGATAGGGATGTGGAACTCTGAGAGCCAGAGTTCAAGGAAGGTCAGACATGACTGGATTACGATCAAAGCTGGAGAGGAAATTGGTTTCATTAAAGGTTAGGACTTGGGGGTTAGAGGTCAGGAAGTCAAGCATCGGAATCAGATTTAGGAGTGAGAGGTTGGGAAGCCGGGATCAGAGACTAACAGGGAATCAGAAGTCGGATCCTAGGGCCGGGGTAGACAACCTAAGGTTCACTCACGTGTCCCCATCCTCAGTGACGTAGCCGAAGACGAGGGGCGCCCACGACAGCCCCGGGCCCAGCTCCGCGCCCAGCCCCGGTCCCCCGGGGGCCGCCGCGTCCGGACCCAGAGAGCCCAGGCCGCTGTCGCACCATTCGTCGGCGTCCGAAGCTTTCCCCAAGCACGCGACCCCGGCCATGGCCCCCGAATCCTCAGGGGCCCCCAGCGGCCGCCCGCCTGATGCTGGGCTCTACCTGGAGGTCTGGCGTTTCCGCCCTGCGGGGAATTCCCCAACCCGCCCCCTGAATCACCCAATCAGAGTGGGCTAAATAGTCCCTGCCCCGCCCCCTACCACACCATAACCAATCAGAGCACTCAGATGGACAGCGGCTCTCTACCCATTCCCACATTTTCCGGGCGCCCTTTACCAACATGGCTGCTGGCGCGGGGCACTCTGGAACTTGTAGTCTGGCCCTCGCGTATCTTCCTCACCTAAGAGGGGCTCGCTCCCGACGTCGTGCGAACGCTTGTTTGCGGCCGCGACGGCTTCTGGGAGTTGCAGTTTTCTGCCCTATCTCTGCCCCTCCTTTTCCGGTGCCGTCACGGGACAGAGCAGTCGGTGACAGCTCCGAGGGCCCCTGTCCCGCACCCATGGCCGAGCCGGACCGTGAGTCGGGGGCCCGAGTGGGAGAGTCGGGCCGCGCCGGGGCCTGGCTGAAGGCTGCAGGCCCCGGGGCCCAAGGGTGGGCTTGATGGGGCAGGAGACAGGGGCTGCATGCCGCGGGGGAATGGGGGCTTGGCGGCCGTTGCTTAGTGATCCATACTGCTAGGTTGGTGGGTTTCTGGGTCGCGAGGTTTTAAGGGTCCGTTTGCCGCGACCCCCAGGTTACTGATGATCGCGTGTTTCTCGCACCTTGGTCGCTAACGACCCTCGTTTCTAAGGACTTAGGTTGCCGCGGTCCCGGTTGCTAAGAGTACCTGGTTTTTGGAGGGAACTGTAGGATGCTCGGGAACCCCTGGTGTCCCGCCTATCTCTCTCCTCTAATTCCCGTGCCTCTCCTAACCCTACTGTCCCCACTCTCCCCACTCCTCCAGTCAGAGGATCTCTTCCTATCTTCTCCCTTCCTTTCTAAACTTCCCTCTGCTGGTGAACCTGACCCTCCCCGCACATACACGCACACGCTCCCGTGTCCTGTCTAACGTCTCCTAAGTCTTCCTCCATGCCCTATAAGCTCTGCTTTCTCCTCCCTCTCCTAAACCTTCCTGGCCCAGCCTCTGCCCCTCACTCACCACCTCTCCCCCCAGCCCTCTCCACCCTAAAAACATCTGCTTTCCCCATCCCCTCCGTCTTTACTATCCCCCGCCCAGGATAATTAGGTTAGTGGATCTTCTTGCCCCCACCCCACTGCCTTGAAGCCCTTCATTGCCCCTTAACCATTCCCCACACTGTAACCACGTCTACCCCGCTCCTCCCCCAGCCTCTGACCCTCTGGAGACCCAGGCAGGGAAGGTGCAGGAGGCTCAGGTGAGATGGGGAAGGGGTGGAGGGAAGGAGAGAGACCTGCTTGTTCCCACGCCCGGCTCCCCTGGGGGGAGGCGGAAGAGGGGAGACAGTTACCCCAGGGCCCTCAGCTCACTGCCCCAGTCCCTCGCCCCACCTCCCGGGTCAGCCTCCTGGGGAATGATGGATTCTGGGCACTGTCAGAGAAGGTCGTGCAGCCTCAGCCCCAGCCTGCCCTCCCAGACTCCTCCCCGCCCGACCCTTCTGAACCTTATGTGTGCTGGGGCTGAAAGAGACAGGGATCCGACTTGGTCCCTGAACTCACGGATCCCATGAACAAGTGACTAGAGAATGGCCGTAACAGGGTGATTATGAAAGGAGCTCAGGGCACTGTGGGAGCCTAGAGTCAACTTTGTGGGGTCACAGAGCTTCCAGCTAGTCCCTTCCATGGTGGAGTCCACAGGCTGATCTGGGAGTCAGACTGAGGTACAGACACGTTGTAGTCAGTGACCAGTGACTTAGAACTTCCTGGGGCAAGGTGAGAAGTGGTGTTCCACGCAGAGGGTCCAGCTTGTGCAAAGACCCAGGGACATGAAAGAGTGTGATGTGTCCAGTAGTTAGTGGCCGGGGGTGGTCAGCTAATTATATTCGTGGGTAGCATTTGTGGAGTACTTATTCCAGCTGGGCACTCTGCTTAGGGCTCTGTGGGCATCATCTCATTTCATCTTCCCAGCATCCCTGTTGCTGGGGGACACACAGCAAGTTGCTCCCACGTGCTGGGCAGGGCCCTCGAGTCCTTCCACAGAGCCTCACTGTCTGCAGCCTGAAAGAATGCCAGCCCACCCCCAGACACGCGGTCGCTGCTCAGATGCGGGGCAGAGCAGAAGCTGTGACTAGTGCACCCCACAGATGCCCGGCAGAGGGTCTAAGAGCTCCCGTCAGGCCGGGGCTGCTCCCTCTGGCTCCCAAAGCCAACCGCTGTCAGAGAAAAAGGTTTCATGTGAAAAAGGGATTCTCAGTCCCAGAGAGAGATTCAAGGATGTAAATCACAGCATTGTCTGTGACCGGGCGAAACTGGAAACAGCCCAAGTGGCTGTCGGTAGACGGGTGAAATGAACCATGGTGCGTGCTTGCAGTGCAACTCTGTAGCCGCTTAAAAGACAGAGGTGGGGCTACAGGATATTGTTCACAGGAAGATGCGAGGTGCGGCATCGTACCATTGTATAACCCATTTCTGGAAAAACTGAGGTTTATATGCAGAGAAAAAGCCTGGAAAAATGATTGTCCTGTTAATAGTGGTCATTTTGCTGGGGTGGCTGAGGGAATTATGAGGCTGGTGCCCCAAGTTATACATTGGCTAATGATCAAAATTTTTCCAAAGCTCATACAATCTTGAGAAGCAATAAAAAATGTCTAGAAAGGAGATTCCTATGCTAAAAGGCTTGGAACCAGAGAGTGAGTGATGGGGGAGACAGCTTAAGCAGGAGAGTGAGTTGGTCAGAATTGCATTTTTACGAGGTCCCTGCAGGGCCCAGCCCTGGTCCAGCCCCGGCAGGTATTCATTTGTTCAGGGGTAGATAGTTCTGGAGCTCCTGCCAGGTGCCAGACTCTGTTCTTGTGCTGGGCATCCCGTGATGAACATGAAAGATCCCTGCCTTTGTGGAGCTGACAGCGTGGTAGGCTCTGGATGCTCGTGATCACATGATTAGACCAGGGGCCGGCCCGGTGGCACAGTGGTTAAGTTCGCACATTCCGCTTCCACGGCCCAGGGTTCGCTGGTTCAGATCCCGGGTGCGGACATGGCACCACTCGGCAAGCCATGCTGTGGCAGGCATCCCACACATAAAGTAGAGGAAGATGGGCATGGATGTTAGCTCAGGGCCAGTCTTCCTCAGCAAAAAGAGGAGGATTGGTGGCAGATGTTAGCTCAAGGCTAATCTTCCAAAAAAAAAAGATGATTAGACCAGAGATGGCAAAGGGAAGGGCCTTCGTAGTGGAAGGGAGTGGGCTGATCCCAACAGGCCATCACAAGGAGGGTAGCAGAGTAGATCGGAGATGGAGACTGAGGCTGGGAGCCTAGGGAGGAGGCCGGGACAGGGCCCTGGTGGGGAGAGGACAGGCTGGACCAGGTGGAGCCCTGAGGAGGGGACACATTATGGCGGGAGGGTGGGGGAGGGAGGCGGGAGGTGTCTGACAGACTGGGAAGCCACACTGAGATGGGGCCCAGCAGGAGGCGCAGGTTTGGGGGAGATGCTGAGGGCGGTTTGGGACACAGTGGGAGTAAGGGGCCTGGGGTCCCTTAGGGGGAGGTATCCAGGGGACTGTGGGAACACTGGATCTGGGGACAGAGAGGTGACATTGTCAGTGACTGGGCCGAGGCCACTGGCATGGATGAGGCAGGTGGCCCTGGGAAGGCGGAGGGAGAAAGCAGGGAGGGCCCAGGGACAGAGTCCCAAGACCTGTGTTTGGGAGCCTGGCCTATGGGAGGAGCAGAGAAAGGAGGAGGAGGGCTTGGACAGGTGTATCTGGGCCTTCCAGCGGGAGGGCGAGGACCGAGGCCTTCCCACTGGCGTTATTCCTAGGAGGGGCTTTGATAAGGAGGGCTGTGGGGGTCCTGGGACGGGGTGAGGCCCACGCTACAGCGAACAAGGTGGGTGCAGGGCATGGACATGGACACCAGGCAGGTGACAGTGGCAATAGCCAGCACTTCCCAGGCACTCATCCCGTGGGGTGCCGTTCTGAGCACCTCGCATAGGTTAACTTGTCTCATCTCATAGTGGCCTCAGGGGTGGGGGCCCTCTGACTCTGTGTCCGAGATGAGGGGCACTGAGACTCAGGAAAGTGAAGTCACCCACATGAGATGATGCTCCTCCCGAATGGCAGGGCTGGGGCTCCAGTGCAGGCGGCCTGTCCCAGTGCCCACACAGGGGCCCCCAGCATGTCCCTCCATGGCCCCACACTTCCTCAGGCCCACCTCCCAGCCAGAGCCTTTTCCCTGAACCAGGGTGTCACCCCGCTCCCCCCCTGCCTCCCTAACCCCACTTCTGGGGCCTGGCCACCCCACCCCCACCCCTTCCAGGACTCAGATTCAGACACTGAGGGAGGAGCGGCTGGCGGAGAAGCAGAAAGTGAGTATGTCCCTTGGGAGCCCTTGCTGGGGGGCGGTTTCAGGCACTGATTGGGGTGACACTGTTCACCTCCACCAGGGGTGACATTCAAAGTAGGTAAAATGGGTTCGCTGCCAGCCCTGGAGGCAGCTGGCTGGACCAGGCATTGAGCCTTTAGTTGTGGGAAGGCGGGTACCCCAGGGCTGGGGCAGCGGCATGCGGGGCATCTGTGTACCCCGGCTGAACGCCCGCCTGGCCGCTGTCTCTTTTCTTTTTGGCCAGTGGACTTCCTGCGGAACTTCTTCTCCCAGACGCTGGGCCTGGGCACCCAGAAGGAGCGTCTGCTGGACGACCTCACCCTGGAAGGGGTGGCCCGCTATATGCAGAGCGAGCGCTGTAAGTCCCTTGCCTGCGTGGGGCCCCAAGAGACTTCTCAGCCCCAGCCACTTGAATCACTCACATCTTTTGTTTGCAAGTAACAAGAAACCCAACTCAGCCTGCCTTTAAAAAAGCCAAAAAAGAAGTGTGTTGACCCTGTAACTAAAATCCAGCTTTAGGTATGGCTGGATCCAGGGGCTTCCATGTTGTCAAAAATCATAACCTTCTCTGGAGTTGCTCTCCTCTGTGTTGAGGGGGTAGCTCTGAGTACAAGTTTCACCAGCGTAGCAACTCCCACTGAAGAGAGCTTCTTTCTCCCAAATATCTTCCATACATTTGTTCAAGCAACACAGCAGAGATTGGCTCCAGTTGGCCCAGGCTGGGTCCTGCCCATGAACCCGTCAGTGTGTCTCTGATTGGCAGACCTGGGTCACATCTCCATTGCTGAGCCAATGACTGTGCCCTCATTGGCTGGGCATGTTTGATGGAATGAAGATGATAGTAATAGTATCTACCCACGGGGTTCTTGGGCGTTAAACCAGTTAATATAGACGTGAATGCCTGGAATGGGCCTGGAACAGGGCACGAGCTGTGTGAATGCTCCCTGTGACTATTGCTACAGGAGGCTCGTTGCAGGTCTGGCAAAGAGGTCCCTCTTGCCTGGGCCATCGTGTAATTTATATTTCTTGGTGCAAGTTGAGGTCACCAGTGTCTGAGAAACCAGCCCCTCAGCAGTCCTCGACTAGAACAATCGCCCCTTTGAGGGTCCTGAACGGCCTTTTGTTGTGAACGTCTTCTCCAGTTGCCCCAGCCTCCAGCTGCTGCCGGCTCCCTCCTCGGGCAGCCGGGCCACTGCCCTGAGCCTCTCTCTCCTGGGCGGGCCAGGCGGCCGTCCACAGACATCTTCTGGCTTGGACTGACCCCAGCGAACGCAGGCAGTGGCCACACTGCGTTGGTTCCTTCTGTCCTGCTGCCCCTGGGTTTGAGGATCACTGGCTCATGAGGGGTGTCTATGAGGGGATGATAATCAATACTAACAATTAATTGAGCCCTGGCTGTTTGCCAGAGGCTGGACCAAGCCCTTGACAGGCATCCTCTCATTTGGTCCTCACATTATGCTTGTGAGGTCGTTACACAAGTGATCTGGACAGACGAGGAAACTGAGGCACAGAGAGGCTGTGACGTGGTGCAGGGTCACACAGTGACAAGAGGCAGAGTCAGGACTCGACCCCAGGCCCCCTGAGTCCAGAGCACATACTCCCTCCCACGTGGCCCCCTGGGTCCAGCCGGGCCTGGTCTGATGGTATCCCCCAGACGAAGCCCAGGGCTGAGGCTGGGCAGGCCTCGGCCTAGTTCACCCTTGCTGGCCTCCTCTGGACAGGACACCCCAGAGGCACCCTGTTCTCGGGGCCTCACACTTGTGTGTGTCCCGCGTGCCCAACTGATGCACAGACACCAGGGTACCACCTGGAGGGCTGCCCGCCAGCCAGCAACTGGGTCTCAAGAAGTTTATGGGTCTCGAGAAGTTTAGCACAATTGAGCAGAGAATAGCAGTAGACAATATGCGCTGTCTGCTCAGCACCGGGCAGCGGCCCGAGCTTTCCGTGAATTCCTCCATTCTCTCATGGGCCCGCCAAGTCCCTACTGTCATTACGCCCATTTCACAGGGCAGGAAGCTGAGGCCCCGAGGGGTGATCTGGGCTAAGCCCCCGCTGGTGAGCAGGAGAGCCAGGATTTGAAGCCCTGCTCCACGTTCCTGCTCACTGGGCACGGGCCGAGAGTGACAAATCTCTGGTCTTTCCCTGGAAACTACCAGTGGCTGATGTGTGTTTACAGAGGAATCAAAAGGCGAAGTGTTGCCAGAGATGTTTGTAATACCCCGCAGGCCTTCCGGGAACCCCGGCCCCAGCCTTCTCATAAGATCTCATGCGTTTTTCTTTTGTTCTTCTTCTCCCCAAAGCCCCCCAGTACATAGTTCTATATTCTAGTCATAGGTCCTTCTGGTTGTGCTGTGTGGGACGCCGCCTCAGCATGGCTTCATGAGCGGTGCTAGGTCCACACCCAGGATCCGAACCAGTGAAACCCTGGGCCACCAAAGCGGAGCGCGTGAACTTAACCATTCAGCCATGGGGCCAGCCCCTCATGCATTTTTGTCTAGATCGAGTCAGGGGGAGAGACTCTCTCCAAGTGGCCTTTTCTCAAAACTGTCTAAATGGACATAATTGCAAGCAGTGGATTCTTTGTCCCCATGCTGGCTCTTCCACCAGTTGACTCTGTGACCCCTTCCCCTCTCTGAGCCTTGGTTTCCTCATCTGAGGAATATGGATGTTAACACCACCGCCTTGAGATGGCTGGGAGGACTGTTCATGCATCCGAAATGCTTGCTCCAGGGCCCGGCTCCTAGTACACGGTGTCAGGGGCTGTGATGGGTGGCTTCGTTGTGGGGAGTGAGCAAACCATGTCACATGATCTCTAAACTCCTCTCCTGCAGGTCGCAGGGTCATCTGTTTGGTGGGAGCTGGAATCTCCACGTGTAAGTGCCCCCTCCCCCTGTAGCCGCCCCCAGGTGGGGGCGCCCCTTCCAGGGCGGGAGAGGAGCCGTGTGTGGTCGCCCACGTGGGAGGTGGGTGTGGTATAGCCGGGGCCAAGGTCCCTGATCGCTTGCTCCCTGCGCTCCTCCCCCAGCCGCGGGCATCCCTGACTTCCGCTCCCCATCCACCGGCCTCTACGCCAACCTGGAGAAGTACCACCTTCCTTACCCGGAGGCCATCTTTGAGATTGGCTACTTCAAGGTGTGTGCTCCCCCGGGAGGGGTGTCTGTAACGATGGGGGAGTAGGGTCTCCTGGCTCCGCGCTCATCCCGCCAGGGGCATCTGGTTGCCCACTGCCCTGCGGCCCTCTCTCCACAGAAACATCCAGAGCCCTTCTTTGCCCTCGCCAAGGAGCTCTATCCTGGGCAGTTCAAGGTGAGCTCTTTTCTGCCGGGGGACAGGACAGCTGGGGGACCGCAAGAAGGGGAAGGCCCTCTTGCACAAATATTACATGGTCAGGAAATTCATGGGCTCTGGGCCCATGACCTCGAGGCTCGGTTTTCCCAGATGTAAAATGCAGCCGTTAATAGTATGTGAAAAGGGTCGTCATGAGGCTTAACAACCCACGGGAGAGCCCAGACTCTGGAGCCGGGCTTGCTTTTGTGCGAACCCCCACTCTGCAACTTACCGGCCGTGTGGCTTCGGCAAGACAGGCAGCCTCCCCGGCCTCAGTTTCCTCCTCTGTGAAATGGGGTTAGGGAAGGTCTGTGCCTCACGAGGCCGTGGGAGGATTCCGTGAGGTGACACAGGCCTGGGACAGCTCCTGGGGGCAGTGCGGGGGAGGGGGTGTTCTCCGTTACATCAGCATTGTCGCGATTGCTCCCCTGCAGCCCACCGTCTGTCACTACTTCCTGCGCCTGCTGAAGGAGAAGGGGCTGCTCCTGCGCTGCTACACGCAGGTAGGCGGGGCGGGGCCCCCTAGGAGGAGCGGAGTGGGACCCCCCCCCCCGGAGGGGAGGGGCGGGGCGGGACCGCCCAGGGAGGAGCGGGGTGGGGACCCCGAGGGGACGGGGCGGGCCCTAGGAGGGGTCAGGCTGCCGGGAGTGTCCTGGCACCTCAGTGCCTGAGAGCTCGGGCCACTGCTTCTTCATCGTGGGCCTTGCATGGTGTCGCTTCCCCTCTCGCAGCCTCAGTTTCCCCTTCTATAAATCAGAGGCCAGCACAGCGGCGCCCTCTCGGGTCTGTGGGGACGTGGCAGCGACCTCCTCCCTGGGCCATCTCCTATCCCGGGGAAGGACCCCATGTCTGAGGGGACGCCGCGCGCCCTGTAGATTTTATGTTCGTTAGGGTTTTCCAGCGGATGATGCCACAATGACTGGTTCTGACGGTTTTCCAGCCGCTGCACGCGGCGTCTTCAGGGAGAGGGCTTTCCTGTAATCCGCACGGGGCCGGGCGTGGGGCCGCGGCTCGTTCCTGTGCGGTCCTTGGCGGGGGCCGCGCCCTGGGGACTCAGCCGGGAGAGCTTTCACTGTACACTTCTGGACCCGTCAACGGGACCTTCAGGGTGTCGCACCCCTAAAAGTGAAAAACGCCTGCACCTCTACCTTTGTTTTATGAACACGTACTGCAGTCACGTGGTGTACTATAGCACTGATGTGTGCAGGTTATCATTCATGCCTCAGCGCCTAGTTCGAAATCGAGAGAGCAGCGGCATAAAAACAAGTGTTCTAACTTTTTCTTCCCGCGCCTGGCGATTTGGAGCCTGCAGCCTCAGAAGCTGCCACCAGGGGGAGGATGGGTCTTTTTTTTTTTTTAATTGAGGTTATGATAGTTCATCATTTTGTGAAATTTCAGTTGTACATTATTATTTGTCAGTCATGTTGTAGGTGCACCCCTTCACCCTTTGGGCCCATCCTCCACTCCCCTTTCCCCTGTAACCACTCTTCTCTCTTCTCTCTTCTCTCTGTGCATGTGTTTGTTTATCTTCCTCATATGAGTGGAGTCATACAGAGTTCGTCTTTCTCTATCTGGCTTATTTCACTTAGTGTTATACCCTCAAGGTCCATCCATGTTGTTGTGAATGGGACGATTTTGTCCTTTTTTATGGCTGAGTAGTATTCCATTGTGTATATACTACATCTTCTTTATCCAATCATCCATCAATGGGCACTTAGGTTGCTTTCACGTCTTGGCTGTTGTAAATAGTGCTGCAATGAACATAGGGGTGCATAAGTCTCTTTGAATTGTTGATTTCAAGTTCTTTGGATAGATACCCAGTAGTGGGATAGCTGGGTCATACAGTGTTTCTATTTTTAATTTTTTGAGGAATCTCCATACTGTTTTCCATAGTGGCTGCACCAGTTTGTGTTCCCACCAGCAGGGAACAGCAGAGGATTCCTTTTTCTCCACAACCTCTCCAACATTTGTTATTTTTCATTTTGGTTATTTTAGCCATTCTAACGGGTGTAAGGTGATATCTTAGTGTAGTTTTGATTTGCATTTCCCTGATGATCGGTGATGATGAGCATCTTTTCATGTGCCTATTGGCCATCCGTATATCTTCTTTGGAAAAATGTCTGTTCATATCCCCTGCCTATTTTTTGATCGGGTTGTTTAATTTTTTATTGTTGAGTTGTGTGAGTTCTTTATATATTATGGAGATGAAACCTTTGTCTGATGTATGATTTGCAAATATTTTTCCCAGTTGGTGGGTTGTGTTTTTGTTTCAATCCTGTTTTCCCTTGCCTTGTAGAAGCTCTTTAGTCTGATAAGGTCCCACTTGTTTATTCTTTCTATTGTTTCCCTTGTCTGAGAAGACATGGTGTCTGAAAAGATCCTTTTAAGACTGATGTCAAAGAGTGTACTGCCTACATTTTCTTCTAGAAGCCTTATGGTTTCAGGTCTCACCTTTAAGTCTTTGATCCATTTTGGTTTTATTTTTTTTTTTCTGCTTTCCCCCCCAAATCCCCCCAGTACCTAGTTGTATATTTTAGTTGTGGGTCCTTCTAGTTGTGGCATGTGGGACACCGCCTCAGCCTGGCCTGACAAGCAGTGCGATGTCCGTACCCAGGATCCGAACTGGCGAAACCCTGGGCTGCTGAAGCAGAGTGTATGAACCCAACCACTCAGCCATGGGGCCGGCCCTCATTTTGAGTTTATTTTTGTGAATAGTGTAAAAGAATGGTCGATTTTCATTCTTTTGCACATGGCTGTCCAGGTTTCCCCACACCATTTATTGAAGAGACTTTCGTTTCTCCATTGTAGGCCCTCAGCTCCTTTGTCAAATGTTAGCTGTCCATAGATGTGTGATTTTATTTCTGGGCTTTCAATTCTGTTCCATTGATCGGTGCACCTGTTTTTGTACCAGTACCATGCTGTTTTGATTACTGTAGCTTTGTAGTATGTTTTGAAGTCAGGGATTGTGATGCCTCCAGCTGTGTTCTTTTTTCTCAGGATTGCCTTAGCAATTCGGGGTCTTTTGTTGCCCCATATGAATTTTACAATTTGTTGTTCTATTTCTGTGAAGAATGTCATTGGGATTCTGCTTGGGATGACGTTGAATCTGTAGATTGCTTTAGGTAGTATGGACATTTTTAACTATGTTTATTCTTCCAATCCATGTGCATGGAATGTCTTTCCATCTCTTTATGTCGTCATCAATTTCTTTCAGGAAAGTCTTGTAGTTTTCATCGTATAGGTCTTTCACTTCCTTGGTTAAATTTATTCCAAGATAATTTATTGTTTTTGTTGCCATTGTAAATAGGATTGTGTTCTTGAGTTCTCTTTCTGTTAGTTCGTTATTAGAGTATAGAAATGCCATTGATTTGTGTAAGTTGACCTTGTACCCTGCAACTTTGCTATAGTAGTTGATTATTTCTAATACCTTTCCAATGGATTCTTTAGGGTTTTCTGTACATAAAATCATGTCGTCTGCAAACAGCGAGAGTTTCACTTCTTCACTCCCTATTTGGATTCCTTTTATTTCTTTTTCCTGCCTAATTGCTCTGGCCAAAACCTCCAGTACTATGCCGAATAAGAGTGGTGAGAGTGGGCACCCTTGTCTTGTTGCTGTTCTCAGGGGGATGGCGCTCAGTTTTTCCCATTGAGTGTGATGTTGGCTGCGGCTCTGTCTTATACGGCCTTTAGCACGTTGAGGTGCTTTCCTTCTGTGCCCATTTTATCATGAATGGCTGTTTTTGTTTTTCGTTTTGTTAATGTGGTGCACCACGTTGATTGACTTGTGGATGTTGAAGGGAGGATGGTTCTTTTTATTTTGAGGTTCAGATTTCTCAAATGGGGCAGGTGCTCCAGCCCAGGAGAGGTGGTGGCGCCAGGCTGGGGCGGCCTCTTCTTCCAGGAGGAGCCTCAGCTCCGGATAAACCTGACCTTTCTTCCCGGAGGGTCAGTTTTATCCATGGGACGTGGCTCAGGTACAATAAAAGCTGCTCTCCTGAGGCCACGTGCCTTCTGGGTGGGATTTCATCAGCTCCTCACCACGCCCTGCTGGCAGCCCTGTCTGTCAGCTCCTGTGACAGTGTTTACTGAGCACCAACCCAGTGCCAGGTCCTGCTGGCAGTGGACGGAGCAGGGCTCCCTGCCCCCCTGGGGCTGACCTTGTGATGTGGGGAGAGACCGTGGACGGGATGGAGATGCAGTGTATGGCGTGTGTGAAAGGGCCAGAAGTCTGGGGAGCACAGCTGAGCAGAAAGGGGAATCAGAAGTTCTGTGTGCGTGTGTATGTGTGTGTGCAGGGGGGCAGGAGATGCTGTTGTAAACAAGGTGTCAGGGACAGCCTCCTTGAGAAGGGGACATTTAGACACAGACCTGTACGAGGGGAAGGAGCGAGCCATGAGATTCTCTGCGGGGAAAGTGTGTTCCAGGCAAAGGGAACAGCCAGTGCAGGGGTCCTGAGGTGAGAATGTATTTGGCATGTTCAAGGAATCCCAAGCAGCTGGATCTGAGTGAGCGAGGAGGACAGTAGTTGGACAGAACGGGGGAGCCGAGGTCAGGGAGGTAGCAGGGTGGACCATGGAGGGCCTCAGGGGCCAGAGGGAGAACTCTGTCCTTTCTCCTGAGTGAGATGGAGCCACAGGAGGGCTCTGAGCAGGGCCCGGACGTGACCTAACCCAGGTGTCCACAGGGTCCCTCTGGGTGCGTATAGGGGACAGACTGGGTGTCAGTGGGGAGAGGGCACAGACACCCGGCAGAGGCTGCTGCGATGGTCCAAGTGGGAGAGGATGGAGGCTGGGCCGGGGGTGGGGGAGAGCATTGAGGGGGAGAAGCAGACAAGTTATGAATCCATCTGAAGGTGGAGCCGGCTGGACTTGCTGATGGATGGGGTGTGGAATGACAGTGAGGGAAAGAGGGGAGTCGAGGATGGCTGGACAGCTCTCCACGATGCTGGCGTTTCCCTGGGATGTGGGAAGTGCGGACGTGGGGGCCGCGGAGCCGTCTGGGTCGAGGCCTGTGGAGGTTGAGATGCCCATTAGACGCCAGGTGGAGAGGAGGGCAGACAGTGGATGCAGCAGTCTGGACTTGAGCTGGAGGAGCAGCTAATAGACAATGTTTAAACTCAGCAGACGGGATGGGGTCCCAGGGCCCCAGCACGAGAAACCCAGGCCCCGGGCAAAGTAACCCATCAGGGCCGCACCGGCTGCTCCCTCCCCAGCTCTGTCGGAGGCAAAACCCCTGTCTGCCCACGAGGGCACACCAGCTGCAGGCTGTTTTTACACGAAAGCCAGCATGGGCACGATCTGGGGTCAGTGTGCAACGTGCGGGCACGCCCCCCTGCTTGCAGTATTTAATGCATGGATTTAACTACACAGACACTGGAAATGGCATATTACATAAAATAGATAAAGGTGGAAAAAAATTCTACTCTCACATTTCATGAAACTGTTATTTT